AAGAGATCCTGCGCCGCGGCACAGTGGTTCAGGTTCGTCTGGACCAGGAGGTTGGAGACTTGATCCATTACTGGATCGTCTCTACAACCTCCTCCATGGGCGACGACGTCGACGCACGAACTACATCGGAGGCAGCCTGGGTCGACTGGCTAACCCCCGACGTCTGCCGAGAACTGCGGGGAGGCTTGCAGCCTCTCTGCCCCATCTGGTGATTGGCGGGCTTATTGCCCGCCGCACACACTGGGCAGTGAGGGGCGGCAGAGCATTCTGCCGCCTTATGCCCCGGTTGACCGCAGCGGAAACACAGTCCGCCGCAGTCAAAACAGCTGTCGCACTTGACGCGCGTGTGTCCCGATGCTAGGCATTTGTAGCACCTCATCGGTCTCGCCGCCAGGACTGTGATCCTGGCGCTCACGAAACCGACGAGCAGCCTGCCGGCGTCGGCCAATACTTTGGCCGACGCTACGGGACAGCTGACCCACACGGCGCCAAGCCCTCCTGGACCGGGGCGGATGGTGCCAACCCTGACGTTGTCCGCGCTGCACCCCGTCTTCTCCCGGATTACAGCGCGGACATCTTCGGCCGTCACTGAGTCGGCCAGGCCCGAGATGCGCAGTTCCGCGCACTTGGTAGGCCTGGCGACCCTGACACCATCTGTGGCTGCAAATATTCCCCGCAGCTTCTCTGCGAAGGAGTCCGCCATCTTTGCGCCTTCAGCCCCAGGGAACTCGAGAACTCGAGCTCCCGTCTGGGCGAGGCGCATCCTGACCCCCACCGTCCCAAACTCGTTGGCGAGGCTGTCCCGGGCCTTTTTGAAGACGGCCGCATAGGACAGCCCGCCGTCAGCCGCCTCCGGGGACACGGTCACAACTACAGCCGCGGTTTTGGGCGGCTGCAGCTTCCGCGGCCTCTTTGCAGAGGCCGTTGCCACCGGTGGCGAAGGCTGGGCTTGGGCTGCTTTTTGGGCAGCCTTTCTGGCCCGCCTTCGGGACTTCTTGGAGCCCCTCGCCTCCTGCCAACCCTCGTTGGAGGGGGCAGGTGCGGAGGGGCCCGGCAGGGGGTGTCGGAGTGGGGAGCGGAGGGAATGCCACTCCGCTCCTCGGCGCCGTTTTAGGCCCCGTCTTGGCCGGCGCCTGGGGATGTGCCTTGGCCGGCGCCTTAGCCGGTGCCTTGGCCGGCGCCTGGGCCGGTGCCTTGGCCCCCCTCCTCGGCTTTTGGGGAGCCGATGGAGTCGGGGCAGACGCCGCCGCCGCGTAGGAGACGCGGCCTCCCACTACGGGGCCTTAGGCCGCTGTGCCGACGCGAGCGGGGGGCGCATAATCGGCGCAGGGGGCAGTCTCGCCTCCAGGCCAGCCAGGCGTCCGTCCAGCATATTCCCAACTGCGATGAGGATTTCTCGCAGTTGGGAGTCAAATGCCCCTGAGTTGGTGGTAGGGGCAGGCTGGGACGCGGACGGGGCTTCCCGCTCGGGGAGGTTCGCCTGGAAGCGGGCGAACTGAGCACTCAGCTCGTTCACCCGCTCCGTCAGCCTCTCGTTGGCCACCTGCAGGCGAGAGACGTCGCCCGCTAGGCCCTCCACGACCTCCGACAAAGCGGAGGAGGAGTCCTTAAGGGCCCTCACAAACGAGCCCTTAAGGTTCACGGATTTGGTGGCCACCTTGTCGATGACGGCCACCGCCGCTTTCGCCCTCTCCTGCACGGACACGGGAGCCTGGGGGGCATTTCCCCCCACCGGCTCCCGAACCTTGAGCAGGAGATCCGCGATCTCCTCCTCCGCTACGGCCTCGCCGTCCACTCGCACGCTCCTGTAGGACAGGGTCGAGACCGAGGCCGGTTTACACGCCCTCCCTCGGCGACTGCTTGCCACCTTTGGTGGCATCATTTCGCCGGACGTGTCGGTTTCCACGTCCCCTGAGCGTCCGCGTTTTCGGCTGTCGCTTCGCTCCGCCTCCATGGCCTCCGCGCCATCCGAGGAGACGGCGGATCCGGAACGAATACGATCCGATGCTCTTCGGCTCCCAGAGACCAGCGTCAGACTGACTTCTGGGAGCCCCATCGAGATAGGCGTTCCCGACGCTATCTCACCCTCCGTGGATGACCCATCCACTCCACTATTCCTCCTCTTCGTCTCCTTGTCCGTTAGGCTTGCCTTTGTCTGTTGTGTTTTTTTTCCGATCGTTTTGTTTTTGGTTAAATTAAGTTTTTCCATAATAATCCCACGAGTGGGGGAGAACTAAAGGTCCACCCGGGCAGAGATCCCCCATTACCCGGGCAAGCGTAAGTTTTTAACCCAACCGAGGGGTCCGCAGGTACCTCGGCTTGGAGTGCGCTCGCGACTGAACTTCCCATCAGCCATGCATCCCCTGGCCACGCACCAGAACACGGGATTCGGGGATTTTTTTAGAGAGGTTATCTTCCTCGCGGTCCGGGCGGTTAAGCCAAGACCCTCGCCCCCGATCAGAGCCGCGAGACTTAACCACAGCGCTCTTCTCGGGATTACGATATGCCGACGGTTGACAGGGAGACTACGTCCCCCTGCCTGCTCGGTGGTAGTGTGAGTACACGCCGAGCCCGTCCTCCTTTCTCCACCGCTGTCAGCGGAGAAACTGTGGCCCCTACAGGGCCCCGCCATCAGGTTTTTTACCGAGGTTTCCTCCTCCATGCTCCGAAGAGCGAAGAGCCAGCAGGGCAACCGGCAGACACGCCCACCCTGCTGGACCAGGCCTTGCCCGAGAGCCGATGAACGGCTGCCTCTTCTGCTAGAATATTGGCCGCTGGCGATAATCCTCTCCTCCAAGAGGACAAAGAGGGAACAGTACCATCGCCAGCGTTTCCAGGGTGCACCACGAGGAGGTTTTCTAGCCCAGCACCCCAAACCCTATACCAACCTGGTCTGGCCAGCGTGGTATAGTAGTCCAAAACCTCCTTTCTAATGAGAGGCTTATGTCCAGCAGTGGACTATTAAAGGTTGTTAATGAAGTTACTTATAAAAATAAATTCTATTAGTAGTTTAACTGGCTAGCTTGATAGTGCAAACCAACAAATTGACGAACTACTTCTAAAAAATAGGTCTCTACAAAAAAAACTCAAGAACAAACCTGTGTATCTGCTCAAATATTTCAACTGCTAACAATAGTTTCAAGAAAGTACTAAGAGCAGTTTAAATGTATAGCAAATATGGAGGTTTGTTAAAACTCCCATAGGGTTATTTTATTTTCTATTTCAATCTTTGATCAAAACAGTTTTTGTGACAAATTAAGGTTTTTCGTAACTACAAAAGCTTCACGTTAAAACTCCGTCTCCTGCACTAAAACTTATCCAAAAATACAGAATTTCAGTTTTTCAATATGATTCTTTAACTCTGTGAGGTCATGTAAATAAAAGACCTCTGCATGGTCTAACCTTTTTAATCACCTTACCACTCCAATGCTCTTTTTTTATTTCTTTTTTATTTAAAAAAGTCAACTGCCGCTCTAGGAATATATGCTGTGTCGTGGGGGACTTTACAAACATACCTGAAACGGATACAAAGAACACCCAGACTCAGAACAACAATATTTCTGGATATAAAAAGTGTCGTCCCATATGGGGTTCGAACCCACAATGTAACCACATATTTTGTGGCTACATTGTGGGTATTTAAAAATATAAGTATACAGATTTAAAAATATAAAAAATATTAATATTTAATAATTTCAATATTCAATAATTTCATTCAAGATGCTTATAAGAAAGCTCCTTCTTAACCAATTCTGTATAGTTTTTTATTGTGGTTCAGTTATTATGGCTTGTATATATTATATATAACATAGTTCATGACTGTGATAATCCAAACAACGAAACGTATTTGGAGCAAGCACTTCATACCGTGGGAACTTGTTTGTCAATTATATTTTAAGATATTTTCAAACTTAAATACCTCATATGAAGGTTCTAAATTGAACACTCACATTATTCTGAATGTGCGAACGTATTTTGATACGTGGATCGTATTGTTAATAATACAACAGGCCATTGTTTAATTTTTGTATTGAATTATTGTGTTAATAAAATCAAATATTAAATGACAATTGCCGGGAAGTCGAATCCCAAACTTATCAATTTTTCAAAGTTTATTTGCTATGATTGCAGGTACATCAAATTACAGATGGAATAGTAAATTTGCCTTTACTGGGATCGGATGGTCGTGTGCCATGAAAATATGTATAGTATTACATTATTTATTTATTTTAAATAAATAAATAAATAATGTAATACTATACATATTTTTAACAACGAATGGCTACATTATTGTATTAGAAACATAACCTGTAAAAATTGTTGTATTGTGTGTCTGACATAAATAAAAAAGAACTCTCTCCCTCCTCTCTCTCTTTTTAAAACGTCAAAACGGTAGCGTCCATAGAAACATGTGTATAAAATCAAAAATTGTGACGTCATATATTGCTAACGTCAAAAAATTTACAAATTAAAGTTAATAAACGTCAAAATATTGTCAAAGTCTTCCGACAGTATATCAAAAGTGTAATTATAATTGAATTTTTGTCGGTGTATTAAATTTTTATTGCCTATAAAATATGTCTATCCAGAAGAGTTGTATTTCGTGTTAAACTGGAAATACACGTGTCTGATTACTGACTCATATTAGCGATGGATATTTGCGTTTCGTTACACGTGTAACTTATAATATCCTCTGATCCTCTGATCCGCTGATGCCTATCGCAGTCCACTGCTTTTTTATGGTTTAGGGGGCAAACGATGGCGGCGAGCGCGTTGCGAAGCGGGCTCGCTTCCAGGAGCAGAGGGAACATGGGGTTCCCACACGGGGGGGGGTCGTCTACCTGTTGTTGTAGATGGCCCGAGGTATGTCGGGGCACCAGGGACTTCCTTTCTAGGGTATACCTGGTTCCCCGGCTATTAGTACCCGAGACGGCGTGCGGTTTTAGTTTAGGGATTTCCGCAAGGAACAAAAAAAAAAGGGGGGGTTCAAACAAGCAGACATGTCACCTGATGGTAAGCATTCCATGGACACCGCCGCCCATGGACACCTGCAACTCAAAAGTTACAAGTGCGTTGCCGCCATTGTCCACTGCTTTACATAGGCTTCTCCCATAGCACGCCACTTCGATTTTCGATCGATTTTCGGCTACTCGCATCCAGCTCCTGCCATCTACCTTGCGCCAAATAGCCAGCCAAGTTACAATATGTATACTTAAATATAATTTTGTTTGTTTTAGGATGTAACTGTTCATCGATCGGAGCGGAGAGTAACGTATGCGACATCCGAACCGGGCAGTGTCGGTGTAAACAGCATGTGTCGGGCAGAGCTTGCGACACTTGTGAGGTATGACCCTTATTTAACACAGAACGATAACTCGTTCTTTATATTTATTGGAACGAAGTTCATTATCGCGCGTTGTGAAAGGGGGCTAGACGGAAAAAATTCTCACGAAAAGTTATAACGACACTTTTTATTTTGAATTGTCACTTATCAGTCATTCAGCGCCATCTATCGAATAGATAGGAAATCATTACTTTTCATCTCAGTAAAATTAAAATTTATGTTCTTAGGTTGAGCAAAAAATATTGTATTCGACATCATTTCTCAAGGTGATTTTACCAATGTATAAATTGTTTTAATAAGAAACCAACTAAAAAATATGTAGGTAATAGCCGCTTTCATAGATGGCGTTGTAATTAAAATCGTGTCGAATCAGTTTTACTCGATCGTCACAACTTCGTTCCTATCGGGTGTCCCACGACACCACACGGCTTTTTATAATACGACGGACGGATTAAGAATACGAAGAATACGGAGTGTCACCGCCCCTATTCATCCCGTGGGTGTCGTAAGAGCCGACTAATTGAAAAAACTATGCAGGACAAGAGCGCTGCAAAGAGAAGGAAAACTTGACACAAACCCTCTACCAACCCGTCTGGCCAGCGTGGTATAGTAGGCCATAACCTCCTTTCTAAGGAGAGGTCTATGTCCAGCAGTGGACTATTAAAGGCTGATGATGTGAGGGCTGCTATTTATGTATCCGGAATAACAGAGTGACAAACATTATAGCCAATTTTCGTAGCACTTTTTCCATTCTGATTGTGGTATCTCCAAAACTTGCATTTTGAACGCAGCAACAGCCTCTTCACGGCCCGAAAAAGTTGACTACGTAATTTATTCTTCACGGTTATGAATAAATAAAAGTCTTTGGGGTCCAAGTCAAGGCTAAACGGTAGATGACAGGTTAATTCGATCTTCCAAATACTGAGTTGTTTCGGCCGATGTGTGACAACTAGTCATGATGAAGAAGGATTCTGCGTCTTTCTTATTTCTTCAAAGACATCTAGCAAACAAATGGTCGTGTACCATTATACAAAATGAATGATGACGATACGTTATGAATGGAAGGAAATCTCCTTTCTAAGGAGAGGCTTATGTCCAGCAGTGGACTATTAAAGGCTGTTGTTGTGATGTGATGTGATGAATGGAAGAAAACGATGCCGACACAAAGGATATTGCTGACGGTCAAATTCAGAACGAATGTGAACTGAAAACTAGTTTCATTTTTTTTGTCTGTCTCTCTGTCTGTCTGTTTGTTCCCTGTTATTTTCTAAACGGCTGGACCGATTTTGGTAATATTTTACTACCAGGTAGCTGTCTATATAAGGAGTAACTTAGACTATTTTTGTTCTCAGAAAAACCCTTTAAAATTTTGCCCGGTCCGTTAATCAAAACCACTAAGGCAACGATTTTCAAGTTCCACGAGAAGTCGCGGGTACCAGCTAGTTTCTAAAGTCTAGTGAAAAATTATCAAACTCCGCCGCCACGCCGCTTCCTACTACGCTGAGTGTTGTCGGTTCAAACCCTACATGGGACGACACTTTGTGTGATCAACAAATTGTTGTTCTGAGTCTGAGTGTTCTTTGTGTCCGTTTCATGTATCTTTGTAAAGTCCCCCGCGACACGGAATATATTCCTAATGCGGGAGTTGTCTTAAATGGAAGAATTACGTATAAGAAAATAATCAAAATAATGAATAGTGATCGTACTTAAGCCACCAAACGATGTCTCATAAATATTTTGTCAGGAGATTTCTATTACTTGGAACTTTGATTTTTATTACTTGCAATCTTTTATCAAATAAGCTTTACTGTTAAAACAGCAATACTAAATACTTAAGTTCCCGCAACTGTGTTGTGTTTAACAATTATCAAACGTTTAACGGTCTTTAGAACTTGAAAGCCAAAGGAACTTAAATTTTCAGCGTCCACAAATGTTATATCATAACTTGGAAATGTCTTGGTGATATTTCCAAGCAATAAAGTCTAAACGAGCGCGGAAATGTGGCGTGCCATTCAGGTTTATTTGTATACGGTTTGTGGACGGTGCAGGGAGGCATTTGAAATGATTAATAGGCTCTGGAGTCTCTTGACTGAGGAACTCTTAGCCTATAAACAAAAACATGCATAACCTATTCTTATGTATGTTTTTGTTTACGCTTTTAAGCTTCATTTGTTTTTTTATTAGGTTACTAGCTGACCCGCGCAACGTCGTCTGCGTCTCTCAATAGTAATAAAATTTCTCCGTTTTTGAAACATTCTTCATTGGTGCTCCGCTCCTATTGGTCTTAGCGTGATGATATATAGCCTATAGCCTTCCTTGATAAATGGGCTATCTAACACTGAAAGAATCTTTCAAATCGGACCAGTAGTTCCTGAGATTAGCGCGTTCAAACAAACAAACAAACTCTTCAGCTTTATAATATTAGAATAGATTTTCGCAAATGTCAAGGTGACAGAAAGTTGAGTTAAACTGAATACGAACTTATCCATTCTACTTACTGACAATGTAGTGAGTATCAGCTTAAAACTGCAATGTTCTTTCGAATAAAGACTACCATTGACGCCCACATAGCTCTTACACAGTTTGAGTTAATGCAGACTCGGATCCTTCGGTTTGTTTGTAATCTTTTTTCTTTCTTTACAATTGATCCTTCTAAAATTAACTAATTCATCATTTAGGATAAGGTGTACCATCTTCCTCCTTATCAAAACATTCCATCAGGTCAGATGCAAAACATATGCTTGTTACTTAAAAAAACTTTTTTTTATTCTTGAAAAGGACAACTACCGCACTACTAAATCCTGTGTTAACATCCAGACTTAGAACGATAATTTGTGGATCACACAAAGTGTTGTCACATATGGGGGTCGAACCCACAACACTCAGAGCAGTAGGAAGCGGCGAGGTTGCCGCTTAAACCACTACACCATCTTATGGAGTAAATATTGACGGCTATTTGATTGAATATATTTGTTATTATTATGGTTTGCATTTAGACGTATAGTATTGACTGCAATTTCAAACATATCTGCAACAGAGAAACTGATAGAAATTTCATATGCTATTGATTGAAATGAAAATGTAATTCAGGAATATTTTACCGTTCGAATGCGGCGCTGCACTAAATAATATCAATAATAATTGGTGTCAGCGCTATTGAAATGGAACTGTGCAGTTTGAATTAAATGTCATGCGGATATGTGAAATATTTGCGCGTAATGCGGAACATTGGTGGCAAAGATCTAAACTGTGTCTACTAAACTCAAAACGCAATGTTTATGTTTTATACTTTCGTAACTTATATAACGTAACGTAACGTAACGTTACGTATAACTTTCTTTATACGTTTTAATAATCGTTTTATACTTCATACGGTCTTTTTAAAGAAGAAAAAAAACCTTTCATAATGCGAGACGTAACTTGCGAAATTCAAATAAAGACTTCGCTTCAAATAAAGACGCGAAATTCACTTGGGTACGCGAGGCACCTGTATGAACGAGGCCCTGGCCTGTTGCTCTTCTCGCCACCCTCAAAGGCTGTCTCCCCTCCATAATTTTGGGACTGAAAAGGCGACAACGCATTTGTGATACCTGTGCTGCAGCTTTCCATGGTCGGCGGAAATCACTTACCATCAGATGTCCTATCTGCTCGTTTGCCCCCTTAGACGTTGAAAAAAAGAACCACTACAGTGAAAGGCATAGAACTCCAAGAAAAAAAAGGGGAAAATGGACTATTTCGGGTTTATATTTCAGTCGAAAATCTTTTACACGAATACCGCCTACATGTAACAGGATTGTGGAATAGTTCCATTAAATAAATAGTACAATAAAACTGTAGTTACAACAACTAAATACATTACTAAACACACACTATTAAAGGTTTATAGTTTGTTTTAGGAAATTGCATGCATACTATTATAAGTATTTTTAGTCTCTACCAGATATAAAGTCCAATTCAATCTATTATATCTCGCAATAAAAATGTTTATTACCTCTATTGGTACAGCAAAATGCCATTCAGTGTGCTTAAGGAATGCAGCGATAAAATAACTCTTGAATTCATCCATTCTTAGTTTTGCGGACGTAGGGTCGTGCACATAACTTCAATATACTTATTGGTTTAAGTCTATCTATCGTGTTACTGCTAAATATTCGTTGAATAAATGTGTTGTGTGTCGATCAACTCTGTAACTACCAAACCGTTTTCAATATCTCCTTCGTCATCAAAAAAAAAAATAACCTTAATGAATGATGATGATGTTGATGATTTCATGTTTATAGGAGGGTTATTGGGGCCTTCAACTTGGCGGCTGCCGGCGCTGCGCATGCGGCTCAGGAGCGTCGGCCTGCGACCCAGTGACGGGTGCGTGTGCTTGCGCAGAGGGGGTCGGGGGTGCGCAATGTGACACGTGCCTCCCAGGTTACTATGGCTTCGGACCTGCTGGGTGCTTGCGTAAGTCTACATTTATATAATGCAAGCGTTGCAACGGAATAGTTGGCTCTTTTATAGAGCGGTGTCATAGTTTGCTAGTCAATAATTAATAGTCAAAACAGATCAATTTCTCTTTCCAAAATATCTAAAATATACTTTCTGGAAACTTGTGAGAATTAACAACTTGTGACGTCACACTTCGCTATCGCCAAATCGTTTAATATTTGGTTGGCTTTTAATAAATAACTTGAAAATAAGACCTGCAACTTTTTCAATTCTAATAATAACACTATTACTCGAATATATTATACTGTCAAAAAAAATATTTTAACCATTGGCACCAATCCTATTTTTTTTATCTATGTCGCCTAATATCAAAGATGTGTTTGATGTTTTGTTTCTTTGCATCGAGACATGTATCGATACACCGATTTAAATTAAATTTTTCTTATGTGATATGGGCTCGATTAAGCGTGTTCTTAGCTATGATTCAAGAAAGTCTGTTTTGCCGTTCGAACTCTATCAGCTTTATCTAATTATTTATCAAAGTAATTTTCACTTCATATTTTAATTTTATGAAGGAGAGCTGTGGACTGCGGTAGGCTGATGATGATTCTTGTTTAATGTCAAGCACAGCAAGCGCCTAATCTTAATTAAACTGACGTTAAATATGACACCATTACACTTCAACGATTAATTTTTATGTTATTATATATTTTTAGCATGTCCAGTGTGCACAGACGGCAAGGTATGCTCCCCACACAGCGGTCGCTGCGTCTGTCCTGGAGGCTCTATGGGCGCAGGGTGTCGGCAGTGCGCCAAAGGGTACTGGGCAATGGGTACCACCTGCCGACCCTGTAGTTGCGGACCTGGTGCTGTCTCTAGTGAGTATCACTGTAGTTTCATCAACCTTTTTTAGTATTTAAGTACACTATAGTGGTTGTCTAAAGCATTACTAAAAGTTTCACCTGCCACTCGATAGATGGCGCTTTCTCGGTTATCTGAGTCGCGCTATCGTTTGGTTACCAAGGCAGGTAAATATACTTGGCGATGTAAAGTGTTTTTGTCGGCATTTGGAGTTGTAAATTTGATTCGTTGTGTGAATACAAGAAGTTCAACTGCATTTGGTTGTTTTAATAACAAAGCGCCGGTATTCCGAATTAAAACGTGTTCATGGTCCTGCGAGCTGGATTCTGGAATACGTAAAGCGCTTTTTTGGTAGCTCTTCGGTGGTGATACGGTATCACCCGCCTTGTTAGGACTGGTCCGTGGATTGCGGATCAGAGCATAATTCCCTACAGCGGGCACAAGGAAGGTGTCGAGCGCTGGAGGAGCAATTGAGTGGTGCCAAGAGTTGTTTCAACATTCAAGAGGCGCCACCGGGAACAGGCAGGAGAAGCGATACCGTACGGAACTTGTAGTGTGAGCAGAAGGGTCGCCAACGACAACAACGCAACTTCGAAGACCGACCGCTAGAGGTCGACACTGGTACAACACTTCAACTTGGATTTGGAAGTGAATCGGTTTGTGTGGTGTGAGCGCGGACAACTGTGAGTACATTTAAATTTTTATTTATAAGAAGATAAACGTATTGAAGTTAGTGTATTTTCAACCTTAGAGACACTAGTGACCTAGAATAATTTATAGTAATATTGAGATTTATTTTAGCCTTTAGAATTTGTTTGGTGTTGGGACTTGTGTTAGTTTTAAGTAAAAAGTGGTTGAGACGGGGAACCTATGCCCGATTTCAAACCCAGTAAAAATAAAACGCAAAACACTTAGAAAGATTTGTGGCATTTGAGACTTGTAATAATTTTGCCTTGTATTTCAAATACGCACTTGGGGTTATGATTACAATTTCTCGAGATTACGTTTTTATTTTTATCATTTTACCTACATCTTTGTGTGCTGTATAACATTAAAACTATATTTTTGTAATAGTTAATTGAGTCACTGATTCTTGCCCTACTTTTATAAATATGGAGTCATTCGATATTCTGCAAGAGGATATTAGGGAAAAAATGCTTAAGGCAGTTAGTAATTTTAAAAAGTCCCCTAAAGAACGACGAACCATTGCGTATGTAGAAACAAGGCTAGAGAACTTCGAGAAACAGTGGAAAATGTTTAGTAATAACCACAGTAATGTTGTTACACAAGTTAAAAGGGCAGATTTTTATAATTCAGATTATCATAAAAATGGTTTATATGATGTTGTCGAAGAATTATACATAGAACATAAAACTGAACTGAAAGAAATGTTAATGAAACTTACGGCTACTTCTACTTCTTCACAAATAGAATATGACGGTCAAAATAAAAACTTTAAAAACAGAGTTAAGTTACCAGAAATCAAGATTCCTATATTTTCTGGAAAGTACTCGGAATGGCAAACATTTAGGGATTTATTTTTGGGGTTGGTACACAACAATGGTGGTTTGGATGAGTCACAAAAATTTTATTATTTGAAAGGACATCTTACGGGCGAAGCAGAGCAATTGCTTCGAAACATAAAGGTTACGTGTGACAATTATGAAATGGCGTGGTTAAAATTAGATACTACTTATAATAATAAAAAGTTTTTGGCAAAAGGTATACTTAAACGGTTACTCACTCAGAAGCCATTGTTGAATGAATCAGCTCTTGGAATAAAATATTTATTAAATACTACGATTGACTGTTTGGAGTCTATAAAAAATTTAGGTGTCGATATTTCCTCTTGGGATATTATTGTAATATATATTATTAGTGAAAAACTAGACAATGATACAAGAAAGGCATGGGAATTAAAAATTTCTGAAGACTCTAATGAGGAACTACCCACCTTTTCAGAATTCTCTCGTTTTCTTACCGGTCGATTTAGAGGTCTTGAAGGTATTGAAATAAAGTCCAAAGTGCCCAAGAATCCTCAAAAGGGTATGCAGTCTTTTCTTGCGGTTAAAGACAAGGGTTCTAAAGATAGAGGGTGTCCTTTTTGTTCAGCAAATCATAAAATAGGCAATTGCCAGGTGTTTACTAAAGAGACTGTTGCAAAGCGACGACAGTTCGTTCAGGAGAATAACTTATGTTTTATCTGTCTTAAAAGCAATCATTCTGCCCGAGTTTGTAAAATTCCAGTACGGTGTCAAACGTGTAAGCGCCGTCATCATTCATTGTTGCACCAGGACACTGAGGATACCGGGCCACTTGTTGAGAATGTTAGTGATTCTCGCACGGGAGTTTCATCTACAAATAGTTTAAAGGCGCATACGAAAGAAGTTATCGCGCAAGGGTCAGACCCTAGCAAGACAATGGTGTCCTGTCTTTCGACCGGGAATAGTAAAACAGTGTTGTTAACTACGGCTTTGGTTAAGGCTGAGTCGAAAGATGGTACATACAGGGTGATTAGGGCTTTGCTAGATCAAGGGTCGCAAGGATCCTTCATTACGGAGTCTATGGTCCAATATTTAGGTTTAAATAGGACTGCCACAAGGAACATAGTGTTAGGTGTCGGCGGTGAGAAAAGTGTTACATCAAAATACACCGTCACGGTCAAGATAAGGTCTAGGAAAAATCCTAACCTTCACATAAACGTTAATGCCTATGTACTAAAGTCGGTGACTGCCCTTCTCCCGGTAACGAAAGTAACAAGAGTAGAATGGGTAGACTTGACAGAAAATGACTTGGCGGATCCTGAGTACTACAGGCCCAACAAAATTGATATTTTGTTGGGCACTGAGGTTTATAGCCAGATCATTCAATCGGGCATTAAGCGTGATTTGAGTGGTACTTTATTAGCACAAGATACAACACTCGGGTGGATAGTGTCGGGCGTATCTGACGTAGACAATACTTCCCATATTTCTTCACACATTACTGTGATGCATGCTAGTTTTGAAACGGACGATTTATTAAAACGCTTTTGGGAACTAGAAAATGAACCGTCTGAAATCAGTAGCATGCTTACCGATGAAGAAATTAAATGCGAGGAGTTATTCATTGCTACGACAACCCGAAACGAGAGGGGTCGGTATGTTGTACGCTTACCGTTTCACGATACCGGCATGGTGCCTCAGTTTGGTGAGTCGAAAGCTATAGCTGAAAAACGATTTAAAAGTATAGAGGTAAGGTTAAATAAAAATATTACATTAAAAGAAAACTACAAGAATGTTATTAGAGAATATTTGGAACTAGGTCACATGGAGAAAATAACAGATAATAAAATTAACAGTCAAACACCTGTATACTTACCTCACCATGCTGTCGTTAGGGACGATAAGATTACAACTAAAGTTCGCGTTGTATTCGATGCTTCCTGTAAGGGTCCCAATGGGATTTCCTTAAATGATATGTTATTGGTTGGGCCAGCACTACAGGCTGATCTTCGTCATATCATCATGCGCTGGAGAATAAATCCTATATGTCTTGTCGCCGATATCGTCAAAATGTACAGACAAGTATTAGTCGATCGTAGGGATACAATATTTCAGCGTATTTTATGGAGGGATTCATCAGACCAAGACATAGAGGAATACGAACTGATAACTGTAACTTTTGGGACAGCTTCAGCACCTTTTTTGGCAGTTCGTACTCTTCATCAAGTAGCTTACGATGAGTGTCAGGATGACCCTAAAGTGGCGTCAATCATTCGGAATGACTTTTATATGGATGATTTGATGTCAGGAGCTGAAAATGTAAATCAAGCGTTTCAGATTTACGATAAAATTAATACAGTCCTATCGAAGGGGGGATTCCAGTTACAAAAATGGAATAGCAATAGCAAAGAATTACTGGGTAGAATAGAAAAACGCGATATGGGCAAGGATGAAGAAATAAAAATCAAACTAGATAACATTACAAAAATACTTGGACTTACCTGGGATTCCCGAGCTGATGTCTTTAAATACTCCGTAGAACTGATGCTCCCTGCCGCACCTATAACTAAACGGAAAATTATATCAGATATTTCTAGATTGTTTGACCCGTTGGGATGGCTGGCGCCTACTATAATAATAGCAAAAATCCTCATACAAAGGCTTTGGTTAGTAGGTATTGGTTGGGACGACGAAGTACCAAGCCCTGTCTTAAAAGAATGGACTGAGTATCGAAGCGGCTTGCCTTCCTTAGCAAATATTGAAATTCCAAGATGGTACAGAACATATTCCAACGATATGAATATACAGCTACATGGGTTTTCAGATGCCTCTAAGATGGCGTATGCGGCCGTGGTATACCTAAGAGTGGTTGATAAGGAAGGCCATATACATGTGTCACTAGTCACTGCAAAAACAAAGGTCGCTCCCGTTAAGCAGGTTTCAATACCCAGGCTGGAATTATGTGGGGCTGTCTTACTAGCCAAACTGATGGTAGAAGTAGCTAAGGTTTTAAACGTGGAGGACTTACGGGCGTGGACAGACTCCGAGGTAGTTCTGGCTTGGCTTAACTGTCACCCGAATCGTTGGAAAACCTTTGTAGCTAATCGTGTATCAAAAATATTAAATACTCTGGATACCCAACATTGGTCCCACGTTTCGTCTAGGCAAAATCCCGCTGATTGTGCTTCCCGAGGTGTAGCTCCAGGTGAACTCCACAAAAGTTCACTCTGGTTTGACGGGCCTCAATTCTTACGTGAGTCAATAATCGATTACAAAAAACCGAAACATTTGGTTACCAATTTAGAAAAAGTGAAGGTGCATACAGGAATTTTTGATCATTCTTTTTGGTGTAGATATTCATCACTTCCAAAATTGGTTAGAGTTGTAGCGTACTGTAGACGGTTCTTAAAATATACAAGATCTAGAGAAAACCGATTAAAACAAGGAGATCATTCTTTAACGAAAACGGAACTTGATGAAGCAATGAAGACTTGTTTAAAGAAGTGCCAAGAGGAGTGCTTCCTTGAGGAATTTCAAGGATTGAAGTCGTCGGGCTTGAAGTTGGATCCTAGAGGTAAATTTAAATCTTTAAATTTGTTCTTGGACTCGGAAGGAATCATTAGAGTAGGGGGTCGTTTGGAAATGTCGCAATTGGAGTATAATCGCAAACATCCAATTCTTATACCTAAGGATTCTTTCCTCACGAAACTATTGATTACAGACGCACATTTGAAGACCATGCATGGAGGACCCCAAGCTATGATTACCTATTTGAGGTCTATGTACTGGGTTGTAGGAATTAAATTGCTGGTGAAGGCTTGTTACCGAAATTGTGTTATTTGCATTAGGTATTCAAGTAAAACCAGGAACCAATTAATGGGTCAACTCCCCTTGCCGCGAGTTACACCGGAAAAAGTATTTTTGAACAGTGGGGTTGACTATGCAGGTCCTATAAATATTAGGGTATCACCAGGTCGCGGCAATAAATCTTACAAGGGCTATATTGCACTGTTCGTCTGTATGTGTACGCGGGCTATTCATCTGGAGGCCGTCAGTGACATGACAGCTAAAGGTTTTTTGGCCGCATTTAAAAGATTCGTAGCCAGAAGAGGCCGCTGTGCTCGGTTGTACAGTGACAACGGCACGAATTTTGTGGGAGCTGCGCGTGAGTTGGCTGAATTATTTGACGAGGAGAAGTCAACGATCATACAGGAGCTATCTGAGAGTCTTGCGAATAATGGCACTCAGTGGACTTTCATTACTCCCCATGCCCCAAATCAAGGCGGTCTCTGGGAGTCGGGCATAAAGTCTACCAAGTATCATCTCAGACGAGTAGTCGGTAATTCAACCTTGACTTTTGAAGAGCTAACGACCGTCCTAGCTCAAATCGAGGCATGCCTTAACTCGAGGCCGCTCTCTTATGTTGAGGATCAAAAAGAGCTAGAAGTGCTGACTCCTGGTCATTTTCTAGTTGGAGAGCCTCTGGTCTTAGTGCCTGATAGTAACTTTGAAAATTCCAATATATCTAGTCTTAGACGTTGGCAACTAACCCAAAAAATGACACAAGACTTTTGGCGGCTCTGGTCGCAAGATTATTTAAATCAATTTCTGCAAAGGCATAAATGGACTTACCAAATACCAGAACCTGTGATTGGCAATGTAGTTTTAATTAAAGAAGATGGCTTACCTCCTGGCAGATGGTTGCTGGGACGCATAGAACATAAACATCCCGGTCCTGATGGTATCACCCGCGTAGTTACACTTCGCACTAAACATTCTTTGATAAAAAGACCCGTCTCAAAGGTTTGTGTCCTTCCAGTCTGTAGTTGAATTGGTTTATGGTAGCTTTTAGAAATAGTTATTAAGGTAAAGGTTTTATTATTTCATTTCTATCAGTTTTAGCTTAGAAATGTGAAATTGTCTATGTGCTAAATAAATTGAGGTTAAGCCTTAATTGAAAATTTAGTTTTTATGCTTTAGTGATTTGTATAAATATGTTAGGTTAACTTTAGTTATTATATTAGAATTCACATATACCAATTGTATATTTAAGTTTTTTTTTTTTTGACAATTGTAAACCACCAATGACAGATACAGGTTTCCTTGGCTAACCTGTTGCAGGGTGGGCGGTTTCCATTCCTTGTTGTTTAAGGACACTTTGCAATATGTCCTTGGTGGGCGGTATGTCTAAAGCATTACTAAAAGTTTCACCTGCCACTCGATAGATGGCGCTTTCTCGGTTATCTGAGTCGCGCTATCGTTTGGTTACCAAGGCAGGTAAATATACTTGGCGATGTAAAGTGTTTTTGTCGGCATTTGGAGTTGTAAATTTGATTCGTTGTGTGAATACAAGAAGTTCAACTGCATTTGGTTGTTTTAATAACAAAGCGCCGGTATTCCGAATTAAAACGTGTTCAGTGGTCCTATATATGTGTTAATTGAAAAGGACAATACGACAGTGAGATTAACTGGAATAAGAGAGGCAAACGAGCGGACGGGTATCCTGATGGCTACTTAAAATAGATCTCAAGACAATCTACTTTATATTGTAACTATAAAAAGTAATAGAAACTAAACCTGGAATGGAGGTCTGGTGACCTGAAATACAGGCTAACGCCTAGTTTAGGCACCAGTCTCCCACAAACATCTAGTAACATGTGAAACCCTAATTTATTCTGCAAATGTGGTGAGAAAATAAATGAATTTGTTACTTAAGAGTCACACGTGCATTGCTGCAATTCGAGTCCCCCCCCCCCCTCTTCCAGAGTAAAAGGGAAGGGGTCTAAGGCTTGGGTAACCTTATTCTCTCCTTAAAAGCACCAGGCATCGGTTCTCCCATCAAAATAAGTTGTGGAGGAACGGGTGTCATGTCCCTCCAACACAAAGGGAGGATCCTCATAGGTTGATGTTGGGACGTTATACATATGCTAATCGGCGAGAGAATTCTTCATATCGCGATACAGATCATTCAGGAGTTACTCCTTAGTTTGGTATGTCTTCGTTAGATGGAGCTGTAGTATGTTTCTTTGTTTCATCGTATGTGGAAGTCGCCACAAAGTCATACATTTGTACTCTAATGTATTTATATTTATTATTTTGCAGACACATGCGATGTCCACACCGGCCAGTGCAAATGCAAAGCTGGCTGGGAAGGAGCCACTTGCAACCAATGCTCCCGAGGATACTACGGGCCGAAGTGTCTGCGCTGTCAATGCCACGTTCCAGGAACTATAGGATGCGTAGATGGCGTGTGTGAATGTGATCACTGGGGACGGTGTCCTTGTAAGGTAAATAAAAACAACTTCCCACATCTCACACAAGGCAGACTGATCCCAAACTTAGGCAGAGCATGTACGATGGTAACCAGACTGCTGATTGACATACTTACGAGTATATATATCAAAATACATATTCACATCAACAGTCCACTACTGGACATAGGCCTCTCCTTAGGAAGGAGGTTTTCGCCCACTATACCACGCTGGCCAGACGGGTTGGTACAGGGTTTGTTTCAAGTTTTCCTTCTCTTTGCAGTGCTGTTGTCCTGCGTAATTTGCTCCCTTAGTCGTCTCTTACCCACAGGATGAATAGGGGTGGTGACATTCCGTATTCTTAATCCGTCACCGTTAAGTACTTCGCTATAACAAATTTATTTTTGTTTCAGGACAATGTAGTAGGGGTACAATGTGATGCATGTCTCGAAGGTACCTTCGGCCTGTCAGCTGACAACCCCTCGGGGTGTACAGCGTGTTTTTGCTTTGGCCGGGTATCGAAGTGTTCGCAAGCAACCCTCGCCAGAGCTGCAGTTCATGCCGCTGCTCCGTTACACATCACTTTACAGAGGGCGAACCATCATGTTATTACAACTGTAAGTTAACGTTTCATCACGTTCACGACTAAAAAAAAAATTAGAAAGGTTTCTGGAGTCTTGTTAAGCGTATACAGCAGATATAGTACTTTGCGATCTGGTTGATTACGATATTGTTTGTTTGCTTACTTTGTTTGCTATTTCTCATGGGAACCAGGCTCGAAGGACCAACTGCCTATTAATTTAGCCAAATTGGTCCATCGAACTTGAACAATAGATCTATAATGATACTACCTGTAATTCCAGATGGACCAAGACTCACTCCTGGCCATTCATACTCACTCTTCAGACGCCACGATCTCTTTACCATGGCCGCCAGTGCCTGTTTACGTGGAGTTAGACAAGCGGTTCGTGGGCGACCGTGTGACATCCTACGGAGGATCATTAAGGTTTAGGGTAGAAGAAGAAGGTGGTACGGAGCTCAGCAGAGAAGTTTTAGCCAAGTTCCCTTTAGTGAGGCTTTATACCAAGAGTATTGTGTTGGAATTTTTTGAGGTAAGCTGCCATTTTAAGGAAATATTATTCAACCATATCAGCTAAACTAAATGTATATCAAGTGATATATAATATACATGATTCTCACATGGGTCAGGCAAGAGTAGAGCACCCAAAACCATTCCTTATTGTATAGAACTGGTGTTAAGCAGTTCTCCCGTTACTTTTCACCGAGTAAGTGGGGTCACCAGAGCCCAAACTACCTTCCTCTGATACTTGCTCTGTGGCGACTTCCACATATAGCGAAACAAAGAAACATACTACAGTGCTATCTATCGAAGACACACCGAACTACGGAGTAACTGCTTATCCTGTATCGTGATATGATTATTTCGCACGCCGATTAGCGATTATCTACAATTTCCCAACATCAACCGTAGGGCCGCGGCCCGCCAGGCATGATCACTTCGCCTGGTTGGAGGTTCTTCAATACTCAAAAAACCGGCAAAGCACATGATTCGATGATTATTAGGTGTCTTGTTCGGGGCAGCAGTATTCTGTTCATTTTCCCCAATTATGTATGTATCATAAAAAATAAATTATCTGTACCTACAAGTATTTTTGTGCAGCGCATTCCGATAATCAACGGTACCCACAGCGTCCGTTTTCATGAGTCACTGTGGATGGTTCGGGGTCGCGGGGTGGCTTCCCGTTCAGCGCTTATGTTGGCGTTGCGGCGGCTGGACAAGATCCTCATCAGAGTTACAACGAGAGCCCCGACACATCAGGAGCATGTGCATGCATTGTAAGTCAATCTTATATATGTAATAAAACAGAATTGAAGATCAGTTTTCGTCAACAAGAAGATTGATTCATTTTTCAGAAGATTTTACTGTAGTACATGTTTTTATGTTAAGAATTGTTTATCCCTGTATCATCGGCAACGTGTTTGCTAAATTTCATGATGATCAGATCTGTACAGTATTGTACTGTCTAGGATTCGAATCCACAAGCACTTATCTAGATTGTCATAACCGTTACCGCCACCTAAATTACTCTTTTATTGACAATAAATATTTTGGTTTCTCATCTAGAGTCCTCAATGTTTCCCTGGACACAGCAATCCCAGGCCTAAGTAGGTCTGAACCAGCTCTCGGAGTTGAACTCTGTGCTTGTCCAAGAGGGTACACTGCGAGCTCCTGCCAAGAACCAGCTGTTGGGTTTTGGATGCCACCCCCGAAAGTCCACATGACGACGGTTTTGGGGACTATAGTGATCAACTTAGAAGGAGATGCCCAGCCCTGCATTTGTAATGGAAGAGCCACGCACTGTGATCCAGATACTGGTGACTGTTTGGTAAGTGTATTTAGCCTTTATTACACCAATTAGGAGAAAATTCTCGGACAAAACAAAGCATAAAACATTTTACAAGAATTTCAGTTTACCTATGGATAATTTAAGTTTGTTTAATTTTAATATAACAACAACAATAACAATTAATACAACAACAACAATAAAATAACAACAGACCGTGTGACGGACGGTGACGGTGACGGATTAAGAATACAGAGTGTCACCACCCCCATGCATCCCGTGGGGGTCGTAAAAGCCGACTAAATACCAATCCGTCTGGTCAGCGTGATATAGTAGGCCAAAACCTCCTTTCTAAGGTGAACACAACAACTCAAACCAAACCGTGCTATGATACAATTTACTAAATTGATTAATAGTACAAATGTTAAAATTGGTTCAGTATATTATTATGACTGTACGGTCTACGGTTTTTGGTAAAAGTATTTCTCAATTTTCTGAGGAAAATGCTTTTCTAGGTATTACATTGAAATCTTAATGATTTCCGCTTCACTAAATGTAAATGACGTCAGCGTACACTTGACTGATATTCACGCTAAAATTCGAATTGTCCTGGATATTCACTTTAATCTATAAGATTTTAATGTACCAAATAGTTCATCTGGATAGTCTAAGGATGATATATGGTAGTCATCAGGAAAAATCCTGGCCATATATTATTAGCTTTGAAAACACGACATAAAATATAGTATAGAAATAAATAAAATAAAATCATCAGTATTAAAATATATCAAATTTTAATTGACTTATTAATAAAAGATTTACATAGTGTTCATTTCAATTTTTGGTTGTTAAGCTCAAGGATCATATACAACCGATTTCTTCTCGTATGTCTTCCACATTAGATCCCAGAATGCCATGCGTCGGTTGTAAGCCTGATCTTTCATTGACATTTCCACATCTATGTTTAAATAAGGTCTGGATTTTCCAATAACTGGTGTCCACAAGACTGGTAGTTCCTGCGTCTTTGAAGGAGTTGGATTTCTAAAAGAAAATGTTTAAAGCTTTAAGATTACTGGCTTCTATAGCATCTAGATACTTTAGAGGGGACGTCAAGTCAAGCCAAGTCAATTGACTTGGCTATAATTACTTAAAAGCTATCAACAACAACAACAGCCTATACTAGTCCACCGCTGGACATAGGTCTCTCCTTAGGAAGGAGGTTTTGGCCTACTATACCACGCTGGCCAGACGGGTTTATAGCTGCATAGTTTGTAGTCCCTTAGTCGGCTCTTACGACACCCACGGGATGAATAGGGGTGGTGACACTCTGTATTCTTAATCCGTCACCACACGGATCAAGCTAATCAGAAAAGCTATCAAATCTTGTTAAAGCTAATAGCTGGGTGGCTAGGTGATTGATGATTGATTCATGAAGGCTATAAATGCCCGTGCGTATTCAAAAATATCAGATATCATCTGGTGATGGTCGAATTTTGACGTTTTCCAATGTCTTGTTTAATTTTTTGACCAGCATAACTTAAACTGTTCTCGTATCGACTTTTGCAACATGACAAATAAATGGTCAAAATAGATCCTAGCCCTCAGTCGGTTTATGTATTTGTTTGTATGTGATCTTTAACTTAATACATATTGTTTAAAAAATTTAGCTTTGTGCCCTTTTGATATGACAATAAATCATTCCAAATATGTTTGTGCTTCCGTGAACCGTATTTGTTCAGTTAATTAACCGTAAAATCTGTTATGTAGAAAGTTTAATGAATTTTTAACCTTAATTGAAAGTTTAATTATTAATTATTATTGAAATAATTAATAATTTTTAACGTAACATTTTGGTTTTAAGAAATATTTTCATGATATAAAACCTTGATAAAACTTACCCGTACTTAACAAAATTAGCCCAAAGCGCCGTCATTCTGGATCTTATCAGTGTTTGCTCTGCACCAGCTATCGGAGTTTCCCAATCGAATAAATATTTTAACTCTTCAGTGTGAGCAGCCCCAGATCCAGGTATATCTTTGTATGTACTACCTCCTATATATGAGAACATATACTTGTAGACTTTTCCCTTAGCATTATGTGCATCCATATTTGCTTGCATGTACTTATCGATCGATCGTTCTTCAGCATGATTAACGACAAAATCAGACGCGGACTCACTCAACTCAATAATAGAATTAGGACCGATTTCTTTTGCGCCTAAATAAAACTTCTTTAAAATATCGCCTAGAGCTGTATATTCATCTGATGACATTATAAAGTTTCTCTTTAATCCTTCAACGAATACATTTCCTAATTTATCCCAGAAATCTTTAGTTTGATTGGCGTATGCGAACAACAATTCCATGCTGGTGTATCCGATCATAATTTTTGTATTTCTTATTCTCTCTGCTTTTTCTAAATGGAACGGATCGGATGCTACAAAATTATTGACTCCAGGAAAACGTTTTTCTTTACAAACGCACATTGGCAAACTCAAGTTCAATGCTGCAGACATTACCGACCGAGGGTTTTCATTGGCGAGTTCTTTTAAAGCATCCTTTGTCTCATTGACCCTATGTCCTAAATGCTGTGCTATTTTTATGGCTGCATTTTTATCCGGCTTTACATAAAATCCTTCATCAAATATAGATCCACTCTGTACTATAGCCTTGTCGAAAAGCATCTCGTATTCTGAATACAGATGCAAATCAACAGCTCCACCGCCATAGCTTTCGCCAGCAATAGTCACTTTATTAGGATTTCCATTGAAAGCTCCAATATACTTCTTGATCCACCTTAAAGCCTCGATTTGATCTTTCATGCCTTGGTTACCTGGCACGGTAGGGTCGTCTAGACAGAGGAACCCGTAGGGACCTAGTCTGTAGTTGACGGTAATGACGATAATACCTCTTTTGACAAGATGTTTGGCACCATATTCACCACCGCTGCCGAAAGCGAAACCTCCTCCGTGAAACCAGACCAATATCGGTAGTTTTTTGGATGATCTGGTTGTATGTGGTACGTAGATGTTGAGACGGAGACATTGCAATGTGTCACTGACTTTGAAGATTGATTGTGGGCACAATATCGAAGAGTCGTTGGCGATGAATGGTGTCTCGAACTTAGGGTACACTAGGGTGTTCTGGAAAGGAAAAAATTGATTTTATTAATTTATTATAGACTGGTCTGATGATCTAGTGGTTTGAAACCCAGACTACTAAGCCAGAAATTGTGAGTTTATTTTCCACCCAGGATTAATAAAACATTAATAATAATAACTTGACATCTCACACACGGCCGTCTGATTCCAAACTAGGCAGAGCCTGCACTATGGTAACCAGACTGCTAATAAACACACTTACATATTATAATTATAACTGTATTATGAGCACAATAATTTCTGTTCTATTTAATGTATTTATTAAGGCATATTCACCGAATAAACACACACATTCCTATACATTAATTGTTTTAATCCACGAATTAGTTTTTTCCAGCAAAAGCTTCACCACCGTTAATCCTAAAGGTTCTTTGCTTGTTTCCAATGACGATTTGCCACAGCAAATGTCAAAAGCATAACAGTACCCATCGGAACTAGCTATCATCAAGTTCTTGTAACCAAAACGTACTGGGTTTCCTTTTATAAATTGTTTTGCCGGATGAGGTCAATAGATACCCATTCGTGAACTACGCCCCATTGAAAAAATTTGCCAATGGTCTTGAACAATTTATCAGTGCATCTAGCAGCAGATTTATTATCGCAGAAATGTAAAAAAAACAAATATCTGTTTTTGGACATGGTCTTAGAAACAGTTGGTACATTGCAGTCCTCATCAAGCGACCGGTATAGATCGCACCTTTATTCATAAACTGAATTAACTTAGAACTTAACTTAACTTAATATTGTGGGAAATCGCATTTAAAGTTTGATATTCATGTGCGTGCGAGTTCGTCAAAAAGAGAACGACGATCTCTTATCTCTGCCATTTTCATGGTATCGAGTCGGCTGTTGGATTGTTCGTGTTCTACTGATGAAGTTGATTTGGTATTTGTTGAAAACTCGAAAAACGTAAATTTTGAATTAATTCAGTTTATTATTAAAGGTGCAAGATGTTCTCTTAGCAGAGTATGATACCCTGTGAGTATTAGTATTCCAAAAAGTTTAGGTTCAGTAGTTTTGGAGCCAAATCTTTACAAACAAACAAAAAATCTAATGTTTCCTCTATATTATATTAGCATAGATAACAATCACGACCTAGTTTATCGCATCGTTTGTTTATGTCTGTATATAACTTATCTATATTATGTACGTATTTAGAAACATGGTATAAGTAGGTATGTTTATCAGCAGTATAGTTACCATAGTATAGATTTTGCCTAGTTTGGTATCAGACGGCGATGTGTGTGTCTTAATTTATGATTATTAATACCATTACGAATATTTTTTGACGTTACCGTTTTGATGAAAAGTAAATAGAAACATTTGACTAAACAGTCAACTAATTGGCAGCCGACTAAAGGGGGCAAACTCTGCAACAGCACTGCAAAGAGAAGGAAAACTTGATGCAAACCCTATACTTACCCTTTTTTTTATAACACACAACTGCTTATCATGAGTGGGAATCGAACTCACGACCTCTATACCCGCAGTATGTATTGCCACTCATTACACCGCCTGCCTGTCATATTTATTTAAAACTAGCTGGTACCCGCGACTTCGTTTGCGTGGAATTTAAAGAGCCTTGCCTTAGTGGGTTCGATTGCCGGAACGGGCATTTTATAAGGTTTTATCTGAGAGGAACAATAGCCTTAGTTACTTCTTATGTAGACAGCTATCTGGTATTAAAATATTATCAAAATCGGTCCAGCTCTTTAGAAGATTACCCGGAACGAACAGTCAGCCAAAAAATCTTTAAACTGGTGTATCTTGGTAATAGGTATCGTAAAAATAACCGTGTGAGCATGAAAAAAAAAACCTATTAATTTGATATTACAAACAGACACTTCAATTTTATTTATTTGTATGTATTAACTGTACAAAAAATATATTTTTTGAGCAACATAATATTCAATACTTACACCAAACGGATTATTCTCATCAACTTTTGCATAAGGCACGCCAAAGTAAGTGTCGTATCCATCTTCTCTTTGTCCCACTATACTCCCTGCACTCGTAACAACAGTCACAGAACCTCCACTAGCACACGTCAAAAACATACAAATTAAAACACATATATACATCTCAACGGCTGTTTAACGACTGAGAAACGTGTCTCACTTTTGTAGGCTACTAATAGACATACATACGCTTTGTGGTGTAGAATTCCGTTCATTAAAGTGGAAAACCATTTGTGAAAAACCCCGGGATGAGTACAATTATAGTTTCTTAGACGTTTTCCTCATGTAGATAATACGAGCAATATTGTTCTACGCACGTCTTACTGACTTAATTAGTCACGCATATGTACAAAGCATTCTTTCTCTATCCGTGTGGTGACGGATTAAGAATACAAATTGTCACCACCCCAATTCACCTCGTGGGTGTCGTAAGAGCCGACTAAGGGAGCAAACTAAGCAGGACAAAAGCACTGCAAAGAGAAGGAAAACTTGAAACAGACCCTATACCAACCCGTCTGGCCAGTGTGGTATAGTAGGCCAAAACCTCCTTTCTAAGGAGAGGCTTATGTCCAGCAGTGGACTAGTATAGGCTGTTGATGATTGATGAGTCTTTCTCGCGGCTTCTTCTTTTATGCTATTCCTGATTATAATTTATCCATGTGTCAAAGTTCATCTAAATCCGTTCAGCCTGACGGGTAATAAACATCCCGAACATCCACCTGAACACAAACATTTTGAATAATATATCATCACATCACATCAACAGACTTTAATAGTCCACTGCTAGACATAGACTTCTCCTTAGAAAGGAGGTTTTGGCCTACTATACCACGCTGGCCAGACGGGTTGGTAGAGTGGGTTTATGTCGGCTTCGACGACACCACGGGATGAATAGGGACACTCCTTATTCTTAATCCGTTACTACACGGATAATATATGCATAAATAATAATAATATATCTTACACATTTCACACACGGCCGTCTGATCCCAAACTAGGCAGAGCCTGTACTATGGTAACCAGACGGCTGATAAACATACTTATTATAGATAAATTACACCCAGACACAGAAAAAATTACCGTGCTCAACACACAATATTTGCGTCCTGGGTGGGAATCAAACCCTCCGACTAAGCAGTCAGATTCACTAACCACTAGACCAACAGGACCGTCAAAATAACAAAACATAACATAATTTTATTTTATACAGAACCACTAATTAAATTATTTATAATGGGTTTCCTAATTGTTACTATAATACCTCATTACTTGTAATTTACGATGTGTCATCTTTTGATGTAAACATATTTTTTAAATGTAAAGATAAGTAATTAATATCAAACACGAGCGACTAGTCTATAATTGTTATTATTGACACCTTTATTTTTGGTGAGGGGGTGGAAAATCGATTCGAATCTCCGAACCCCATAACCCCATTGTGGTTATCCCCTATCGAAGCAATTAATCTGCCAGAGAGGTCCCATTTTTTTTTTCTTCTTAAAAAGAGAATTTCCGCATTAGGAATATATCCTGTGTCGCGGGGGACTTTACAAACATACATGAAACGGACACAAAGAACACCCAGACTCAGAACAACAATTTGTGGGTCACACAAAGTGTCGTCCCATGTGGGGTTTGAACCCACAACACTCGGCTTAGTAGTAAGCGGCGTGGCGACAGCTTAAACCACTACGCGGTGCTGATCGGGTATCGGGTGGCTCTATGAGCTATGACCTTTAAACGGCAACTTTTGCCAACTATAATTTTAGTAAACTAATCAGCTATACTCATCAAAACGAGCAAAACTCGGTTTCATCATCAGATCTAGGTGGAGTACCTAGATCTGATGAAGAAACCGAGTCACTCAAAAATACAGTAATATTATCGACACGACAATTATAATTATGTAGATCAAAAACTTTCAAGATTTGTACTCGTAGTTACAAGCGAAGCTAAGGTGTTGTAGTGAATCATCATGGGCTGTCCGTGTGGTGACGGATTAAGAATACGGAATGTCACCACCCCTATTCATCCCGTGGGTGTCGTAAGAGCCGACTAAGGGAACAAACTGCACAGGACAACAGCACTGCAAAAAAGAAGGAAAACTTGAAACAAACCCTATACCAACCCGTCTGGCCAGCGTGGTATATTAGGCCAAAACCTCCTTCCTAAGGATAGGCCTATGTCCAGTAGTGGACTGTTATAGTGGATGTGATGATCATGGTTTGGATCATTTACGTGCATCAGAAATATTCTTACAATAATCGGTTAAGCAGTTCAGCCGTGTAAGCATAACAAACGAACTGCATTTGTCATTTATTAGACTATGTCCTTCGCCAGTACGTAAGTCACATTGTACTTACGCAAAAGTTCTTCATACTACGTTTATTTCTTACCAAGTTCTTTATTTTCAGAATTGCACAGCCGGTACTGGAGGTCCCCGTTGCGGAGTTTGTGCGCCGGGGTATTATGGGACCCCGGATTCCCCGGGCGGTTGTCAGGCGTGCCCTTGTCCCTCAAGAACTAGGAACTTTGCCTCAGCATGTACAATCAATGACGGGCAGTTACAGTGTCTTTGTAAACCAGGTAAGCTTGTTTGACAATCCTAAAAGCTGCTCTAAGCCGCAAGTCACAAGTCACAAGACGCAACATCAGTATTTTCACTTTCGTATTTATTGTTTATTTAAGTAATCAGTAATGGATGTTCTCTAGGATACGCGGGCCCCGAATGTTCTGCATGCGCGGCAGGCTGGCGGCGAGACGTGCGGGGCGCGTGCGTGGCGTGCGCGTGTCACGCACGGGGCGCGCTGTCCCCGCACTGCGACGCACTCGGCCGCTGTCGGTGCCGGCCGTTCGCGACCGGCCCGAGGTGCGACCAGTGTGTCGCACGACGGACTTTCATGGACAGCGATGGCTGTTCACGTAAGTACCCACATATATTCGACGAATGATTTAACTAAATTTTTAACAGACTTCGAATAGTGTAAAATTAAGGAAACCTGTTTCCTTAATTTTACACTTTAGTACATAAATTTTATAAATCATCAATAATATTCTAGGTTTTTAGCTGTTAATATAGAACCACATTTTGACAAAACAATATCGTTACTAATAATAATTTATTTATAAAGCAGATTCGATTTTTTTTATCACAGAAAAAACCAATTAGTCAGAATCTAATTCAATTGTAAACTATAACATCGATGAGAGAAGTTTTGAAAAAAAAATTAATTAAAAAATATATTTAATTTTGTTATTTAGCTTGCGACAACTGCACACAAACACTTCTGGATTCAGTAGAACAACTGACCACAAATCTACGTACACAAGCTGACCCCACAGAACTACGAAGAATACCAAAACCTTTTGCAGCCGTCCGCGAATTCCACCACAATGCCACTATACTCCAAAATAAATTGAATCAGTTCAAAAGTAACAAAGTGCACACGAAAAATTTAGAAAATATACTCAATGACTTAGAGAGTACTGAACATAATTTATTTACCGAAGCAAACAGTTTAAAAACAGAAGCTTCTAGAAGAGAAAAAGAAGCAGAATATCTAAGTTTAGAAAGCATGAGTGCTCTAGAAGAAGTATATAAAGCTAGAAGGAAACTGAGCGTGCAGGTGGAGGCATTAGACGAGTTTGCACAAGGAGAGAAGCATTTGAGCGCTCACAGGGCTTTGAAAGAAGCAAGACATTTGCTTCGGCAGATCAAAGAGACGAAGCTGGGTGATTATGTGACCGGGTCTAATGACGTATTTGATTCGGTATGTACCATTTTTTTAAGATTTTAAGTAATGTCTATTAAAAGAAATTGGACGAGATTTCTTATTTTTAGAGTTCCGCACCTCAAAAGGTAAAAAAGGAACCCTTATAAGATCACTTTCTTGTCCGTCTGTCCGTGTCCATGTCTAAAAAAAAAAGTTGGAAATTAGGATAATTTTTGGTAAAAATCTACGTAAAATCTGGGTAGGTACGGAACACTCGGCGCACGAGTTCGACTCGTACCTCACCGGGTTTATTTATGAAAAATTTGAAAATGAGTTCATTTGTTACGCTGTTACATTTGAACTACATAACTGATCATTTTGTAATTTCGTAAACATATTACTCAGAGCAAGCAACGACGTAGAGTACCTTTCAGCCAGAAAAAAAATACTATTTCAAAGGGATACTACTCAAAGGCATACTAAATTGATAAAAATGTCATTACGGCAGTGAATCTTTTTGCCAGAGCTAGTAAATTTAGATATACTTAAGAGAAAATCTATACGATCCTGCTGTCTTGTATCTCTTTTGGGGCTAACAAGCGAACGGACCATTTGATGTGAAGTGACTTCTGCAACTCAAGAGACACAGACACTTCGAGTCACTTTACTCACTTGATGAAAACCAACGAAATAATTACTTAACAACGATCTTCTGTGAGGACGTGCTATCACTTCAGCTATACCAGCGCATGTGTGCTGTGTATGGTTGAAGCTTTTTTGTTCACCTCAGTATATTCACAAATTTTCCCAAATACGAGTAGCGTCACTTTTGGGTTGATAAGCCTCTTATTAGTATTCCGTTCACCCTCGAGTTCAGACGACGCTATCCTAAAGACCTAACCACGGTCTTCGTTGGAATGGAAGTAAACAGCCGGAAAGCTTCTTACTCTTCTCTTCCCCCCACATTTCATTAAGATAGCATAACATTAACACAAAATGTATAGAAGTAAATTCCTGTCTATTTCCTATACATATACTTCTGACTTCAATAAAACGACCATTTCGGACATAAAGATCAAAATAAATTTCTTTTCACTTTTAAAATTTACAGGCACATGTACAATCCACAGCCATTCAGGAATACAACTACCGTCTCTCTGACTTGACCAGGCGTATGAACACCCTGCACTCGAGACTTAATACCTGGGAACAAAAGAGCGCTGACTTGGAAAAATTGGCTGGAATTGTGTGGAAGGCTGATGATACGGTGACGGCGTTGGAGGAGATGGTAAAACCAAAGTTAGCAGCTGTCAGAGACATTGGGCTAAGGTGCCGGCTGATTTTAGAGGTAAGTGGAATATACGGACTCGTGTTGGCCTTGTTGAATGCTGACGCTGCTGGACAAGGAAAAAAAGTAGCTTTCATGCCGACTGACTGTGCAACGTTTTCTAGGTATCTGATGTCTGTGAACCTGTGTGTGTCTGTGTGTGTTTACCGTTTTTTTGTTTTTCTGAGCTTCTAAAGCCAGAGAACAGTCTATCGCAGCTTTAAAACCAAATATGCTTTTTATCTTACAAGTACATCTCCATCTGATGTTTTTATTTCTGATTTTACTGAATTTGGGAAGTGTAAATGGTAACCCTTGCGTTGTACTATCAGCCGATCAAGTTTTTTTGATTTCTCTCTGGTGCTAGATCAATTCTCTATTTTATTGTTTTCTCATTCCGTTTGATGAAATGAAATTAAAAAAAATGTCTTTGCATTAAAAATATTTAATATCTTTGGTAGGACATATCAACTCTGTCGTCCTCCAACATCACAGACGAGATACGTTCTCTGCTCCTGCAGTCCCAAACTTTCGCTATCAAATTCCCGTCTCTGGCTGCCGAGTTGGCAACCCTGACTCAGGCTGCGGAGGAGAAAGAGGGTATCCTGTATAACCTCACGCCTGTCTACAAGCAGAAGTATCTGGAAGCTGTTGAGAAACACGTAAAAGAGCTGGGAGTCAAAGCAAAGGAATACAAGCAGTAAGACAATTATTTTTATTATACAGATCCTTTTGCATGTTATAAAAATAATTAATTACTAAACTAGTTCCTCCATTTAGGCATATATTTGTAATATTAATGTCGGTAGCGGAATCGTTTTAATTTACGACTTTGTGTTTCTGGTTCTCAACATTCATATCGGTCTAAGAAGATTCGTCGAACTTAGAGTTTTCATTTGAGTTTCTGGCTATTGAAGTCCTTCGAGTTGAACGGAAGCTAGGTGTGAATATTGAAGTAGTAAGAATGCTCTTAGTAGATAATAATGAGCAACCGTACAGGCTGTTCGCGGGCACCCGCGCGGCGGCGGCGCTGGGCGTGTCGGCGGCGCAGGCGTGGGCGCAGGTGACGGCGCACGTGGGCGCGGCGGCCGAGCGCGCGGCGGCCGCAGCACGAGCGGCCGCGGCCGCCAGCGCGCTGGTGCGCGGCGCCGTGCCCGTGGCCGACGCGGCCGCCAGGGGGCGGAACACCTCCGACGAACTCCGGAGAAGAGGTGCCGATGTTCTAGCCAAGGCCGACGGTCAGTCTTTCATTTTATAACCTGTGTTTTTACATTTCATTTTACATAGTTCTTCTCCTAGTTCTGTACGTGTATAAACCGTAACTTTACCATAACTTTAAAAAAAAACTGTAACACGTGGGACACCTCGGGCAAAAGTATACAACTACATGTGTCAAATATTAAAAACCTATAAAGCTGCTTGATCTTGAAAATAAAATTTATTTATACTTTAAGCCTATTTTTTCATCAATTTACCTTCTAAACTACTGCTAATAAAAAAACTGGACAACTATTAACAATTTAAAACTAGTATGTGTACTACGAGTACTAGTATCTTACGAGTATTTTCTTTTGTACAGAATTACGGAACCAATTAGAACATCTACGTCGTGGAGCTGATCTAGTTAGCGTAGTACTCCGAGGTCTAGGATGGCAAGAACGAGAGTTAAGTGGAAGACCCAAGGCCAATATCCAGGCAACCCTCACAGCAGCCAATGAACAAGCTGACAGGGTGTTCGCCAGCACCAGAGTGTTATATGACGAGGCGAGTGAACTGAGGAGGCGAGTTCGGTACCATTTGAGGAGACAGTTGACTGAGCTGCAGAGACATGGAGATACGGCGCTTGGAGCTGTTCAAGAACATGGTAAGTAATATAAAAACCTATTTTATAAAGAATCCATATCACAGGTGCAAGAATCTGACAAATTTTCGGCTTTAGTATTATTTTATTATATTCTATTGTAATATAAAGCCTCCTGAATATGTATGTGTAGTTATATAGATATATAACTACACATACATATTCAGGTTAGTAGTTGTTGTATATGATAATTGACAAGGATATAAAGTAATAACACCGGTATTGTATTTCAGGTTTATATGCAATATACAATGACACTTTCACACTATACAATTCACTCTTAATTATAAGCAAGAACGACTTACCACTTTTACCGTCCCAACTCGACTGCTCCCGTTCTCCATTCCATTTTATTTCTCTCCCTTCCAATCCCCACTATTGTCATCCACTTCCCCTGTCAATGTTGCCATGTTAAAAATATAACTCCCAAGTCAACTATAATCGATTAATCAGGGAAGTCGATGACTCAAGTGACGGCATTGGCTGTAAAATATTATGTTAGTATTTAAATAAATACTAACATAATATCCCAAAGAGACATTTTTTATTAAGAAATTATTACCTAACCTTACACTATTGACAAAATGAATTAAAAAGAAAAAGTTCCGTTAAAACATTCGTATTTCTTTTGGTTACCTCACTGACTGATTAAATGACATTCCTCCAAAAAAAAAAAAATAATCTTACTATTAATAATATTTCATTTTTTATTTGTTTGGGATTTCATTAAAAGCTAATTTAAATGGAAATAAAATAGATACATTTTGGAACTGTTGTTTAAATTTATTATTTTTCAGATGTAAAATTGCAAAATATGTGACGTTACATTAGGTAGTCTCACAAGGACGGGAATGGGTCAAAAAGCTATCAAATTCGTGTTGCAGCATGTTTAGTTGACCCTTTGACATATCCGCTGACAGTTCTTGATATTATATATCTAACTGATGCTTATAGTTCATCATAATAGTTACTAATTTTGGTTTTTTTCAAAAAATGAAGGTAGTTTAAAATTTCTAACGTTGCAGCGTTGCGATTCTGCAAAGAACTATTTTTTTTATTAATACAATGATTAAAAATGTAGCTTTTAAAATAAAAAAACTATACATTGGGTGTTGACAGTATCCCAAATCCGAGGCAACACAGTCCGCGGCGTGGAGACAGCCGCCGCGCTGGGGGCGGCCGCAGCGGCCCGCGCCGAGCAGCACGAGGCGGGCGCGCGCACGCTCAGCCCCGCGCTCGCCGCGCTCAGGGACAAGGTGCAGCGCGCCAGGCACGCCGCAGACTCCGTCAGTATACTCCACCGTATTAACATCACTAGCACTCACACCGACAAGGCCAACACCCACACTAGGCTATGCTTCCAGACTATTTCATTGCTTCATTATAGACTTTTCAAATTCTTCCATAGGGACAAAAAATGTCCGTCTATGAGCATTATCAATGAACAATTCATCGTAGGAGAACCATGGTTCGGCACAAATGGACAGCCTCTGACATAGTAATGCTACCTCTCAGAAATCCGATGTTAAGCAAATCTTTTGTGAGTAAGGTTACAGTAGCCCACACCCCACCTCCCCTGACTCTGAGGGGAGCACTCAAAAGGACCCAAACACACTTGTGATACTTGAGTTGGAATTGTCTATGGGCGGCGGTAGTCAGTAGGCTCCAAACCCTCCTTCCTATGAATCCGGAGGAGGGAGGGGGGGCCTTAAAGAGCGTAGGCACTTGTGACGCTTGAGTGGCAGGTGTCCATGGGCGACGGTAATCACTTACCATCAAATGACCCATGTGATCGTTTAAACTTGTCGATGTTTTCATATTATGTCGTTCCTAATTTAAATGTTCTCCACAGATATCAGTATCGTTAACATCAGTGCCGGGTGCTAAAGGGGGATGCGTGCGCGCATATTCAGTGACCACGCCCTCTCCTTCTGTCACTAGACTCACCTTAGCATTGTCTTTCGACAATGTCGTCAGAGATGGGCCTCTACTTTACTTACTGGATGATTCACAGGTACTCCCACTTATCTTAAATCTACCTAATGCTGCCTATAATAATTATCAAAAAATATAAAATAAAAAGTAACAATATTAGATATCAAAAAAACTAAATCAATTTTGAAGAGTTGCGATATACTATAATCAACAGCCTTTACTAATCCACTGCTAGACATAGGTCTGAAAGGAGGTTTTGGCCTTCTATACCACGCTGGCCAGACGGCTTAATATCAGGTTTGTTTCAAGTTTTCCTTCTCTTTGCAGTGCTGTTGTCCTGCGTAGTTTACTCTCAATCAGCTCCCACGACACCCACGGGATGAATAGGGGATGGTGATACTCCGTATTCTTAATCCGTCACCACACGGATACACTATACATATAGTTACAGAAGAATAGTGACGTAACAAGCGTTTTACGCGCCTGGTTTAGTAAGATGCGTCTACACCCGTTCCACACGGGTTTGGTTATTTCCACTAAAAATAGTCTGCACCCCGTGCATTGCCACCCCTGGTTCCTATAACAATTGCGACCCCTCTAGTTCACGGCACTGCAATAGAGTTATAAGTTTTTAGTATCTTATATATAGCTTTAAGTTTCGATCAACAGGATTCCGAGGCTTATATGAAGCTCACAGTATTGAACAGTAAACTGAACATAGTTTGGGACCTGGGAGGAGGAGAGGCGGCAATACTACACCCTGAAGTGTTGCAGCCAACACACGACGATGCTGACCATACTTCTTATAAGATTGAAATTGAAAGGTAATCTTAAAGGTCAATTTTATATTTTTGCAGTCAAATTATTGATTGATCTCTTTATTGAAAGTCAAAATTAGACATTTTGTAGTATCTTGCGTGAATTATCTACTTGTGACGTCATAACTCTGTATTGTCAAATCATTTACTGTAATGTGTATTTTAGTGTCGTGTTTAAAGCTTTTCAGTAGTTTTGATGTAATCTCATTAGTGTCGATTTAATCTTTTTTTATGTATATAGCACATTCTTTTTTATCCAGTAAACCTTAAGATAACTAAATGTAACTAAATGTGATTAAAGTCAGATAAAACAGATAGGTACGGGGCTCTTTATTTGGCTCGTTGGACCAAGCAATGTATAACGAGGGACACAACGCTATCCACACCCAAACTAAGAATAGCCTAAACAATGGGCTCCAGAACACGGTTTAGCATACATGAAGGGTCTACCAATAGGGATGACCTGGTTTTGACAGCTCATAGCGGCCATGTTTGATGATGGATCTTTGACGTCTCTTGACATTTATGTTTGGTTTGCCATTTTATCATGTCACGTTTCACTTTAAACCAACGCTTGGAAATTGTCCAAAATTTCTTTGAAAGTGACGAAGGAAACCCTGTTACTGTGAATGGCCAGCGCTATAACTCGACGTTAACCGAATATTTCTTTCCGGAATTTGATGCAGACGACCTTTATTTTCAACAAGACGGTGCACCACCTCACATTACTCGAGTGAACATGGAGTTATTGCGTGGAAAGTTTGGTGAGTCGATAATTTCGAGAAATGGACCGATCAGTTGGCCACCAAGACCGTGTGATTTAACACCTTTAGACTATTTTCTTTGGGGTTACGTTAAATCTAAAGTATACAGCAATAATCCAGCTACAATTCGTGACCTAAACACCAACATTCGACGAGCCATAGCCGAAGCCATAGAACGAAAATTGGCGTGAGCGAGTGACCGTCTGCAAAAAGAGCCGCGGCGGTCATTTGGCCGATATATTATTTAAAACATAAATTGCAAAAAAATATCTATCAAATAAATCAATCGGATACATTTTTCATAAAAAATTGTGTGTTTTATTCAATTTTTAAACCAGGACGTTCTTATTGGTAGACCCCATACATACAATTTAAATTGAAACATCTATGCTACAGTTGAGCACTCAGTTATTTTATTCTTACTATAATGATTTGTTACAAGGGTATGGAACGTAATGCACTTACGCGTGGAGCGCGCTGGCAGCACCACCAGCTCATTAGTCACTAACAGCAGCGCGCCACATGCCGTGCAGCTGCGCGCCTCACGTCTGTGGCTGGGCGCGCCACCCCCCACTACTTCCACCTCTCCCACTTCTCCCATAACTGCCGGCTTGCCCGCCTGTGTCCACGCGCTGCATTCAGACGACACCACCGTGGGGTTATGGAACTTCGCGCACCAGCCAACCCATGCGCACTGCACTGGCTGTACTCAAAGGTAACAAATTCGAACTTACACTTAATGAATCCAATTGCAAATTATGACAACGTGAAATCTCCCCTTGAGAAACAAAAATCTTTTTAATAATTTTAAAATAGAAATTATTGATTCGCCTATTTTCTTATGTTAAAGGATATTCTACCTATTATGAAATTGATGTAAATAGAAATCTAATTCAGGAAAAAAAAACAACAATTACATCAAAAATCCGTCATCACCACCAACTGTCACCAATCTTCTTGTCCTTTCCACAAATTTATTTGGGGTCGGGGCAATGAGTCTTCTTCTTCCATTCTCCTCTATCTCCCTACGATTAATAATAACATGACTTATTATTTTTAGATGGTATTCCGGACGAGGGGGCGAGCCTTCCATGGTGTGGTTCAACGGCAACGGGTACGTGGAGCTGAAGAGGTCCCGGGCGCGACCGGCCGACCGTCGCCAGTTCAGCGTGGCCTTCACCTTCCGCACCAGGGACGAGGATGCTCTTCTCTTCATGGCACTCGATACTGCTAATGTGAGTTACATTATTTTACTAATGATTTTCTGTTATTCTTCAAAAATTTGTATTTCTAAATGAGATAGTCCGCAGTGCACTTGTACTCCTGAGCTGAGGTGTCTATTCCATTGGTGAACTGCTCATTTGGGTACTATATTATAAAATAAATACGCAGATGTCCCCTACATAAGAGATTTGACAAAAGTTAAAAATTTCGAACAACCAACCCTACTAACGTAGTGAAATCCTAAATGTTAAAAGAATTTTATGGAATAATGATATTTTGATTTATACTGGTGAATCCAGAGTCCAGTCAGCCTTTGAACTCTTCTAGTAATAGTTTCGGTCTGAAACAGACTTTGGTTTGGCAAAAACTTTAATCCACACCTGCAACATATGGTAACGTTTTATCTTTAAGAATCCTCTGATAACGAAATGTTGAGGGCCAAAAGGGTCGTGATTCTTGAGTACTGTAGTAGATACTGGTTCAGACCTCTACACTAACTCGTCGCGGTTAGCTGTCCAGAAGAAAAAACTTCTGTGAAAAATCACCTACATTAACTATCAACAGTCCGTTCGAAAACTGTGAAAAAATAGTCTTTCTCAAGAGAGCTGTAAGAATAAGTTGGCTAAGAACAGGTATTGGTTTAAGCGGTCGCCACGCCGCTTCCTACTCCACTGAGTGTTGTGGGTCAGATCCCCACATGAGACGACACTGTGTGATCCACAAATTGTCGTTCTGAATCTGGGTATTCTTTGTGTCTGTTTCATGTATGTTTGTAAAGTCCCCCGCTATATAGGATATATTCCTCGTGTCTTTAAAAAAAAAACTGACTTTATATGATATTTTTTTCCAGAACCGATCTGTAACGGTAATGTTACGCGAGTGTCGTGTGGTGTTCACGGTGGAGTATGGTGGTTCGAGATTGGAGATCACGGCGGCCGGACGCCACTGTCACGGCAAGCCGGCGCACGTACAAGCCATCAGAGCCTTCGCCAGTAACAAGCTTGAGAAAGGTACTGTACGATAAAGCCCAATTCTTTATTCACTCTTGTACCAACTGCAACTACGCAGTTACAATTTTTGGATATTTTTCAAGAATCTTAATTAAGTAAAAAGATTTTATGTATTAAAAAAAAATCTATATATTTTCCGCAAATACGATTACTTGTTGACCGTGTGGTGACGGATTAAGAATACAGAGTGTCACCATCCCTATTCATCCCGTGGGTGTCGTAAGAGCCAACTAAGGGAAAAAACTACGCAGAACAACAGCACTGCAGAGAGAAGGAAAACTTGACACAAACCCTTTTTTTTTTTTTTTTTTTTTTTTAACGTGTGGAAATCCCCTCGGACCGTCACCCCTCCGGGGTTTGCGGCGGGGTGGTGTGTCGGACTCGGACCGACTAAAACCACACGGTGTGCCATTCTGCGCCTGTAACAGGAGGGATCCGGGAACAGCTGTTGTTAAGACATCCGGACCCCTCCTAGCGCCAGCCCGCTCCTGGTGCGGGCTCCGTCTCAATGTTTTTGTTCCTCTCTTTAGGCGACGTCCGGCACACGCGGACGCCGCCCCCTCGCGGCTGGCCAAACTAATGCGGGTGGAGGGGAAACCCACCCCGTCCACCCGCGGCCACACTCAGGGCGGCATGAGGCTGTGGTAGGCGGGCCTCCGCCGCCCGGTTCGCCGGCGGCGGATCGGGTCCGAGTGGAGGTCGTCCTCCCGGGCCCTCTCCGCCGCCTCCTTCCGCGAGATTACTACCTCGCAGAAGGTTGCGACCGCGGTAAAACAACTGTCGCTACCGGCCATGGAGCGTACTACGGCCGGTAGCGAGAGATCCACTCCGATGACTGCAGTGAGGGCCCGGCGCTGCGCCGCCCATGCGGGGCAGACCGCCAGCGTGTGCTGGGCCGAGTCCTCACTGCAGTCGCAGTGGTGGCAGGCGGGACTCAGTTCCCTCCTAGCGACCGAGTGCAGGTACTTTCCGAAGCAACCGTGCCCGGAAAGCACCTGCGTCAGCCGGAAGGAAAGGGTCCCGTGCTGCCGCCCTGCCCACTCGGCGATGACCGGCTGGAGAGCCTCCACGGCGGCGAAGCCAGCGCGTGGAGTCTCCAGCCGGAACGACCAACGAGCCATCGTGGCTCGGCGAGCGGCTTCGCGCCACTCGCGCACATCCTCGGGCGGAGGGCGAAATCCGCTCTCCGCCCGGGAGTCAGCCACTCGCCGATAAACTTCGGCGAGCACTTCCGCCTCCAAATCCCACGGGGGAGTTCCGGCCAACGCGCATGCCACCTCCGTAGAAACGGTGCGGTAACCGCGTATGGCTCTGACCGCCATTACCCTCTGAGGGCGCCAGAGGCGTACCCTATTCTGGGCGGTCAGAGCCGCCGCCCACACCGGTGCACCGTACAGTGCCATTGACCGGACAACCCCCGTGTACAGCCGTCTTGTCGCGACGCTGGGTCCACCCATATTGGGCAAGAGTCGCCCTAGGGCAGACGCAGCGCCGTCCTATACCAACCCGTCTAGCCAGCGTGGTATAGTAGGCCAAAACCTCCTTTCTACTATGTCCAGCAGTGGACTATTCAAGGCTGTTGATGTGATGTGATGTGTGATGTTGACATAATATACTGCGAACGGCGTAATGAGGTGGTCCTATGGGCAGGCAGCCTGCGCGTGAACGGCGAAGAGACGTTAGGCTCTCCCACGCCGCCCATCCAGGCGGCGGCCGCGCTACCCGACCTGTCCGCCGCGCCCTACTGGCTGGCCGGCGAGCCGCCAGGCCGTAACAGGATCGGGCCTCCCCCACTGCTGGGCTGCATGGGTGCCGTCACCGTGGACCGCGCCGGGTACGACCTGCTGGGTGCGCCCGCTAGACATGGACTCGAGCCACGGTGTGGAGAAAGGGTAAGTACGACCTCGTGTATACTGATCAAGACAAGCTTCTCACTTACCCATTAGTTGCTGCATGATAAAAATATGAAATAAACATTCGATAACCGTTTACGGTTCCTGTGGTTTATTTAAGTATTTATTTACATCGCATTTTCTTTATGTTAAAAATAAACATCATAATCTTGGAAAAACAAGGAAAAGAATCTTGTTCCAATTTCATAAGATTACTGATTCGTCCAGTAGTGTGGCAATGCAAACATCGACGCCGCTAAATCAGTGTTGCAAGTATATAAATAGTAAGGCAACAATGAGGTGGCATAATTCACTGTTGTTTTATTTTTTGAAAACGTCAATATTTTGTGTAATAACTGATAGCCGTATGTTTTTTAAGAATAGTAATCGTGTTTTTTAGAACATTTAAATGTCTAGATAGTGTCGCACTGCTAAACAACTAAAACAAACCAATTTTATTAGAGTCGCACAGCGTCAGCGGAACGGAACTTAGTGGCCAACAGTTGGACACTCAAACTCAATCCCAAAATATCTTTATTTCAAAAAAAAATAGTGTTTGAAATCGTCTTTTACGGGAACTGTTAAGTCATAGATCAACACACACAATAGCAACAATCTCTGTTTAGTCAAATATTTAGCAAAATAAACATAAGTAATAAAAATGATACCTATCGCAAATCATGTATGCCTGTGCCGATCTACAACCGCCCGTTTCCAAAGGGTTCATGAGAAGAAAGGGCAAACAAACTCACAGCCAATACCTAATATAGGTATATAATACTCTCAGGAAGTCTTTCGTTGCCTTTCACTGAGTGAGTGAGGTCACCTGAGCCCAAATCCCCCCTCCCGCTGACCGGACTGACTTCAAGGGCGACAACGCACTTGTGACTTAAGTTGCAGGTGTCCATGGGCGGCGGTAGTTGCTTACCTTCAAGTGACTCGTCTGCTCGTTTCACCCTTATACCATAAAAAGCCACTCTTTTTTAATTAACAGATAGATACAATATCATCATTAAATACACATAACATTCTTTTGATGTGTGCCAGGATCTCCTTTATTGAGGGCTAAAAGCTGACAAGGCAATGAAGAATAAATAAGATAAAGAAAAAGTTGGTATAGAAATCAAAGTGAAGTAAAACATAAATAAGATACACACTAGGCCAGACTACATTTCCACTTAAGAAATAGCCCGTGCTAAATTAATGCCAATCATTATTGTCTTCTATGTAATATACAATTGAATATTTTACTCTCAGCGAGTCTTACGTTGCCTTTCACTGAGTGAATGTGGTTACCGGAGCCCAAATCCCCCCTCCCGCTGACTGGACTGACTTCAAGGGCGGCAACGCACTTGTGACTTGAGTTGCAGGTGTCCATGGGCGGCGGTAGTTGCTTACCTTCAGGTGACCCGTCTGCTCGTTTCACCCTTATACCATAAAAAAGCCACTCTGTTTTAATTAACAGATAGATACAATATCATCATTAAATACACATCATAACATTATTTTGATGTGTGCCAGGATCTCCTTTATTGAGGGCTAAAAGCTGACAAGGCAATGAAGAATAAATAAAATAAAGAAAAAGTTGGTATAGAAATCAAAGTGAAGTAAAACATAAATAAGATACACACTAGGCCAGACTACATTTCCACTTAAGAAATAGCCTGTGCTAAATTAATGCCAAGCATTCTTGTCTTCTATGTAATCCACAATTGAATAGGCTTTCTGACATAATTTACGTTTTATTGTGGACTTAAATTTGTTTATACTTAGGTCTTGGATATTATTTGGGATTTTATTTTAAAATTAGACACATTGACCTCGAAATGTCTTGTTTATAAATATAATACTATTGTTTTCGATGCTTTTATAGCTTTGACAATCTATATAATGATCTAAGGGCGTTTTATTGATTGATAGGTTATTTCAATAATTACCAAGTCACTTTGGCTTATACATAATATTAGTCAACACAATTTGTTTCGCAGACACTTCGATCAGCAATCCTAAAAGGAACGGGCTACATCGAACTACCATCACCCATATTCCGACGTAAAGCCTCACTAGGTCTGTCGTTCCGAGCACGGTCAGCTGATGGCCTGCTGCTGTACAGGGTGCCGACCTTGGACAATGAAGTTGATGACGATGACGACAAGCATTATCTGGCGCTGGCGTTGATTAGAGGTATAATTTTACTTAATTAAGTATTTTCAATGAATGAGAGGTATTCATATTGATGGCGCAGTTGTTTTCACGAGCGTGTTTTAAGGAAATCCGAAACGGCCGATGCGATTTGACAGTTTGGAATCGCCTCATTTGCTACACTGACAGGTAGCTTTTGGTAGTAGCTCCTTAATAGGAGCCTCTGTCGAGTCTGAAACTATTATTCTAAAATCATGAATTTATTACTCTCATGTGGAAATTGTTACTATTATAATATGTCAACTTTAAAAATACGTGTTACAAAAATGTGGTTTGAATTGTTACTTATATAAAGTTTGGTCATAGAATGATTTACATTAAATGTGATTTTCCCCTTTTTCGAAGTAAAACTTCTTTACGCACGCTTGACGTGGTGAGTAAACTGGTGAATGCGTGACGAGAGCGCGACGAAAAGTGTGATTGGACGAGGCGAACAGAAGTTGAAAGGGGAGTATAAGTTAGTGAAGATAGAAAGAGAGAGAGTAACGTTTCGTATATTACTGTAGGGTCAAGAGAGAGAGGTGCGAGCACACATCTATGCTCTAATTGTGCCTTTCTTCGTTATTTACCTCGTAATTTTGACAAACAGAAAATTATAATGATTTATTGACGTAATACAGGAGAGCTAGTACTAGCAGCAGGGGCAAGTAAAGGTGATATGCGCTTGCGCACCAACGGGACCAGGTTCGATGACGGCAGACTTCACACCGTCAGAGTCATCAGGATGCATAAACAAGTAAGTATTTCATTCATATTGTAATAAGACAGTTTTATCTATCGGCCACTGACTATAAATTTTCGACACAACATTTTTGATAAAATTTCTTTAATTATTAAATCTACTTCAAAGTCGAAGTAAAAAAAAAAGAAAAAAATGGCGTCTATATCGCGAGAAATGGCGATATGATTTTGTTGCATGAACAATATAAATAGTTTATATTTATTTATAGTTATAATTTACTGACTCGGTGGTGCAGGTCTTGGGTTCGATTCCCGGGTCGGACCAGATGCTTTTATGATCTGCAAACATTTGTTTCGGAGTTTAGCGGTGTTTCCTATTGATTTAAAATAATAAATATATATTATATGTATTCTGTCAGTTAGTTAGTTTGAAACTAGATGGCGTTGTGTGTAAGATGGCCGAATCGAGGTCAGTTACAGAGGAGTCGAATCGAGGAGAAATCGAATTTCATGGTTTGGTTCATTATATTTTGGTCACATGTCATGTGACAATGGTGTTCAAAGACATACCGCGAAAACAGGTTGAGCTGGTTCAAGTCCACCCTCTAAGATATATTAATTTGTTCCAGCTAGAACTATGGGCAGACGAAGAACGCTTAGCATCAGGCACACTGACCGGGAACGCGTTCCCCGCCAGACCAGACGGCCTCTTTATTGGTGGAGTGAGGGATCAGTTTTACGAGAAAGTACCCCTGAACCCCTTCAAGGGTACGATTGCCGATGTGATCGTGGATGCTCAGTAAGTTGTGTTCAAGCTTTTTTGACATTTGTTTTGTCATTTTGCTATGTCAATTCAAGTTGTCAATAAAACATAATCACTAAGATCTAGTTAGTAATCGCAGGATCACTAAGATTACAGATCGAAGCGATCGCCTTTAATGAAAAAGTGCATAGACACATATATTTCTGTAAGTTGTATGGCTGTAAGTGCTGAGGTGGCGGGAGGCGGCAATAGAGTTACCATCTTATACTGCGCTCTTATCTAGGGATTTGGTACCAGCGATTTCCTTTCTATGGTACACTGGTTCCCCGGCTATCTGTATTCAAAATGGCGTGTAGTTTTTACTCGTTTCGAGGCCGACATAACCATTTTACAGGACGCCGCACGGAAAGAAAACAGCAGAAATTATTAGGATACTTCCGTCCTGCAGCTGAATGTTATATAATTTTGTATTCTCTATAGATTGATTGGATTGGAGACTGCGGTGTCCTGGGAGGGAGCTCAACTCGGCCGAGCGGATGGTGAACCTATAAACAACGCCAGAACTGAACCGCACTCCTTGCAGCAACAACCGAGCAACGCGGCTGGTTGTACCAAGGTATGCATCTTGAAAGGAGATTGCTTGGCAGATCTCTCTTTGCTGTGTGCCTTTAATGTATCAAGATTTTCAGTTAAAACGGCCAAGGCTTCGGTCTTATGAACAAGTAGTTACAGGTTCGAAGTTACTACAGTTTTTTGGGTGTGTTTGTGAGTGAGATTTTCGGAGAACGGTGGGTTCGAATCCACCACATACGGTAAATAATGTCTGAAATAGGAGAAGGGTTGGGCAATGACTGTTACGAAACAGGAGAATTAACAAGAATACCACTTATGTGTCATCCATGTTACTAATCATAAGTTACATTTTGGTAGTCATTCTTGTGAATAAACAATAAGAGAGAGAGAGATAGAAGTAAATTGTAAATCTTCGACCAGACGTCTTCGTATACGGTGGAGGGAGGCGCGGTGAAGTTTGGTGACACTGCGCACAGCTACGCCACGCTGAAGCTCGGACACTCCAAGCGGAACAAGGAGCTGCAGCTCACGCTACAGTTCCGCACTTACGACACAGACGGGCTGCTTCTGTTGGCGCCGGTAACTTGCACACTCCATTTTATTACTATTATTCTCATACTCAACAATACCATGGCCAACAGCATCTATTTAGAAATAGAACGTCCTTTGTTAGTCTTAGGACCACTTCCAAGTTCCAAGGCTTATAAGATGATCTTTACCATATGCGCAAGCGCAATAGAGGAGCATCTATCAAATAAAATGAAGGGATCCTATAAAATCTCCTTTTAACTTATTAAAGTAAATTTTGAAAATTTTTGAAGTTATTTTTTTTTTTTTTAATATTTTCACATGCCAAGGATACCACTTATCGAAACAACTATTATATAACTTTTATTGTTACTAGGTAAAACTATGGTTTTATTAAATTTGTCAGGGTTCGAAAACAAAGCCCAAACATTACATGGCGTTGATGATAAAGGATGGCAAGCTACGGTTGGTGGTGCGCGGCCGCAAACGGAAGGAAATATCGCTCTCTCCTTTTGTTGCCGACGGAGTTTGGAGATCTGTAAGTATATAACCATCAGATCCTTTTAAACAAAACCAATAATCATGAAATTCTGCATAAAATATGTTATCAGGATTCAGTACATTTTGTATTAGGGTAGCTTTCACCCTCAAAAAAAAGGAGTGATTTCTACAATTTTCAATGAAAGCGTTCTATTTGCGTGGATCATAAAGTACCATGTACTCACCTGCTAAAAATAAATGATCGGGACCAGCTAAACCTATTAAGTGTTGGCTGTAGATTACCAGAGTCATGGCCTGCATCAGGGATATTGGCCCGGACACACATGATGTTTAGATCAGAATCACATATCTATAAATTATTGATAACATTAAGTAAACTGAAAAATTGATCACTTATAAATAAATTAATAGGTAGGTGTACATTGTCAACACTGACCCTTCAGCCTTCATTACAGATTTCACCAAGAGGCAATCATCTCTTCGGTAAAGTTTTATGGGATATAATAGTTTTTTTATTAATTATGTGAAATATTATAGATGAGAGGCATCGGCTTTATTGTCTCTTAAAAAAATTATATATAGATATTGTCTTGTAAAAGTTGTTCCACTTGGATAAATTAAAACGTTAAAGGTATATACTTACTTGGCATTTATGTCATTTCTTTCTTGATGATTCTGTATGATGGTAGGATGATTCAATGCCTTGGTCACTTGTCTCATAGTTTGTGAACATTATGGAATGCACTTTGGTTTGATATGATCCTGGCATTTAAAATGATATCAGAAGCTGCAATACAAAGTAGATATCAGGCAACTGTAAAGTTAATTTAACTGAAACATAAATTACCAATAGAAAATTTGTTTTCATATTATTAACTTTACCTTTATCTGAAGGAATAATGCTGATATTTTCTCCACAAGGCTTTTTGTTAGCCTAAACACTTTTATAAATGTGTCCTCGCATATTATGTCTAATATCTACCACTTTGTCTCGACAAAACACGAGCTCATCGTCGATTTCGAACTTTTTTAACTGGTCGATCTTCGTCGTAAGCGGCTTCTAATAATTGCCTCCGTTGCAAGTTGAAGCATATTTGTTTACGCAGTTTAATTAATTATCTATTGAATTAACGTAAATAACGAAATACGCACATAACACTCTCAAAAAAGCAGTGACTGCTTGACTGCAGAGATAGTTTAACAACAATATTATTCACTCTGAAGCCATCGTGGTGTCATTGAAACAACTGTCAATTCTGTCAAACTCTTGTAGACTACCGTTTAGCAAACTATTGAACAGACATCGAAAACATTTTGTATCAGTGACAAGTCATCGGGAGGCCATTGGTCTTTCCCACCGACACTCCATCGACACTATTGATATAATACTAAAATAGCGGAATTGTGGCCCAGGTGTCGGTGCGCGTGTCCCGCGGGCGCGTGACGCTGTCGAGCGGTGCGGCGGCTGCGCGCGCGCGGGCGGCGGGCGGCGCGCGCGCCCCGCGCCTGTTCGTGGGCGGCGCGCCCGGCCCCGACGCGCACAACGCGCTCCACAACCTGCCCAACTCGGTGAGTAACTGTAACAATTCTTGCCTTCTCTAGCTTCTTGTTTCTCCACTAAAATCACGAGTTGAAGTGAAACATGACTGCACAGATATGAGTGCACAGATAGCATAGTGGTTTAAGCGGTCGCCACGCCGTTTACTGCTACGCTGAGTGTTGTGGGTCCGATCCCCACATGGGACGACACTTTGTGTGATCCACAATTATTGTTCTCTATGTTTGTAAAGTCCTCCGCGACACAGGATTTATTCCTAGTGCGGGAGTTGTCTTTTTCATAACGACAAAAATAAATAAATAAAATAAAAACTCAAGAAAGAATGATTATTACACGAAACTACTTAAATAAAAATTTATATCAATGTAAAACCTCACCTTAATATTAATTTCCGAATCCAGATAATCAGGATAGGAGGATTCCTGGGCTGTATCCGGCGCGTAATACTGAACGGTCGCGCTGAAGATCTAGTGCGAGATGCGCAGGCGCATCACGGCGTGGGGCAGTGCTTTCCCAATGTTGAACAAGCTGCGTACTTTGGCGGTAAGAAAAATCTCTTATTACCCACCAAATTACAGTAATCTTTAACTGTATTATTGGTCACAACTTCCATCATAAGGGTCATAGCACACTTGCTTCAAGAATTAAAGTATGAAATACCATTATTTTTTTTTTACTTAACCATGGATCTCGCGTCATGTTAGATTTTAAATATTACAAATTAAATGCAACTACTGGAAGACTTCCTGGTTTATTCAAACTTCACTGACAGTACCAGAAATTAGCAAATGCAATAGATTAAAAAATCTAAAACCTTTTAAGTAATCATTACAACTTTAGATCTTACAAAAAGAAACATTTAACATCACAAATTTAATACAACTTTTTTCATTTCTTTCGTTCAATATTAAGGACCTTTTTTCTCCTAGGCGACGCTTACGCAACATGGTCGAGCACATGGTCCATGGTAGCAGACGGTTCAGAGAGTTCCACAGAGCTAAAGTTAGAGTTTAGAACTAGTGAACCTAACGGCGTGCTTCTTGCTGCGGCCGGTTTGCTTCTGCAAGTCAAGGATGGGGCGGTAAGTCTTTTAACTCTCATTATTCATAAAGATATGCTTTTTTACGATGTCATTACATTTTCGCAAATCGTTAAATATTTGAAAGTGGTATGTGGGTGATCTAAATGGTGAAGTACAGTGACAGAAAGTGACACTGAACAAGCTGAGTAGATATATTTATATATATATATATATATATATATACCTAGTGTTATATGATAAGTTTCATTTTGTGTTCATGAGTAAAAATCAAATCAAGACTTTAAAGTCCGCAATGTATTATAATATTTCTGTAATGTAACTACAAACTGTGTTCTTTCTGACACGATTCGGATTTGATTTTATTCGACTGTCATTGGTAGCGCAGTAGGTAGTGTATGCGACTGCCGTGCTGAGGTCTAGGGTTCGATTCCCGGGTCGGGCCAAATGTTTTTATAATCTGCAAATATTTGTTTCGGAGTTTGGGTGTTTTCTATGTATTATATGTATATATTTACAAAATAAAAGTATAAAAGTATTCTATCAGTCAATCTAGCTTTAATAGTACAAGTTCCGCTTAGTTTTAAGCTAGATGGCGTCGTGTGTTAGATGTCCGAAATATTATTTATTTATTTATGTTAGTAGGATTTATGTTAAATCGGGTTTCGATCGATCGTGTTCTCGCTAAGTGCATTGAGTGAATCGGGCGACCTTTTCTTGTACGCAGGTGGTGCTGTCCCGCGCGGGCTCGGGCTCGCTGGTGTCCACGCGCGGCGCGGGCGGCGCGGCGTGCGACGGCGCGTGGCACGCGGTGCGCGCGCGGCTGCACCGGCGCGCGCTGGCGCTGCAGCTCGACGCGGGCGAGCTGGTGCGCGGCGAGCCGCCCGCCAGCCTGCTCGACGACCTGCCCGACGCGCCCGCGCCGCCCGCGCACCTCTACGTCGGCGGCCTGCCCGGTCAGTGCGCTAGCGCAAGTCTCATAAATTCGTTATAAAATCATTTTCGGCATCGCGTTTATTAAAAAAAGTTAAAACGCTCTTATAAACTGAATTAATTAATCTATGGTTTAATTCTAATTTTTACTGCAATGACAAAGAAATCAAGGCGAGCATTTTATTTCATAAACATTTAGATGATATTAGAAGATTCTTCTTTACTTACTGTAATTATATACAAATATGTAAAAATATACATAAAGCACTAGAAAATTCGTTGAATATAAAAGGAAAAAATCAAATATCAATCACACATAGTAATAAAATTGGTGTCCCTCAAGGTTGTGTTTTGGGGCCTTTATTTCTTTTGTCTTACATATAACAGACGCCAAAAAAATATTGTTTCCTTATTTATTATAGTAATCTACTTAATATTTATTACTTAATATTTGTACTCGCAACAGTTCACTATTATAGCAATCTAATAATATTTTTTTAAATACTCATTATTCACTCTAGTTTCTGTTTAACGCCTGAGATAATTTTTTGAAATTATATTAATTCCGTAAAGCGTTTACAAACACTACAAAAAAGATATTAATTAGACTTGCAACGAATATTCGGTTACTATTCGGTATTCGGCCTATTCGGCTGCTTTTATTATATTCGGCCGAATACCGAATATCTACATATTATTCGGCCGAATACCGAATACTTAAATAATATATTTTTTCATTGAGAAATAATTGGTAAAATGAAAAATTAAAATCGATTGATTACGTATATATTAATATTTTCATTTCTGTTATAATCATTTAAGTAGTCATTGGTGCATAACACAGGTACATAATCATCTTCTGAATTGGAAATATGGAGGATTCTATGTATTTGAATTATTGTGGTAATCAAAATTTAGAAGGGTAAGGTTCTCATTTCTTTTATAATCATTTATTAAGTAGTCATTGGTACATAAAACAGGTACATAATTTAATTCACGTCTGTACAAGTTTTTGGCGCTAAAATCCAGCCGAATACTTTTGCCTAATATTCGGCTATTCGGTCAGGGGCCTCGCCGAATATTCGGTATACTGCCGAATATACTATTCGTTGCAAGTCTAATATTAATAGATAGAATAAATAGATTTGGTTAAGGAAAACTGTGCATTAAATCCATTACCGCCATTTATCTCAAACCTCTTTAAAAAAAAACTTTTAATTTTGATAGAGGAACTGGACTGAATGTTGTGAATATTCCAAGTTGCTAGCATTAAAAACAGGTGTTACTTTATGCTGTAGCGTACCGTTTTTTACTTAAATGTTAACTGATTTAAAATACAAGGTCAAACCGTTCACTATTTATACCAATAACATGTATTACAGATGATGTGTCTAATATATAATGTACTAGCTGTACATTGCATTGCACATTTTAGTTGCGTTAATAAAAAATAATAACAAAACAAAATCGAAAAATAGACAAAACATCCTTGAAGCTGGTTGTATATCGTCTCAACATTTGAGTCCAAACGACGCAGAACTTCGAGTTCTTGAAGCGTACACAAACCAACGTCCCATTTTTCTAAATATAGATAGGTCCTGATTTCATACCAACTACAATGAGTATTTATTTTTCTTATTACAGAAGGCGTAATGGAATCCACAGATGGCGGTAAAAATTTCAACGGCTGCATTCGTGAAGTGATCGTTGGAGGTCAGAAGCGGAACTGGACTGACATGGAATCGATACACAATGTTCTCTTAGATTCGTGTCCTATACCGCAATAATATGCTCTACGTAGTTAATGATACGGTTAAAAATTTAAAGCATTTTGTGTGAAATAAGTCTTGTAATGTTTGGACATCGCAAGAATTTTTTACTACCTGCGTCATAATAATACAAGCAAATTTGACATCACTGTATGGTAGATTTTAAGTCGAATTTTATTGAAGTCTATTGACAAATAATATGGACATTTTTAAAAGCACCAACATATTGAGATTAATCAATATTAATCTTAGCTTAACAAGTACACATATTTTACACTAATTTATAATAATTACAAGTCTGAATAAAAATTATAACATTATTCATCTAACATGTAGTACAAAAACATGAACTACGGCTGATATGTGCCTTATAATTGTAAGTAATTACCGAAAAGTGCCATTATTACTATATTTAATATAAAATACAATATTATAGTGATCATGACAAAGAAAAGATATTGTAGATTTTGTTCACTTTAGTTGTTTTTAGAGTTATATGCTGGCAGCACCGACTTTAGTAGTAATACTTGAGTATAGCGATTGAATATGAGGCGAAGTCATCTCTTTATAGAGAATATTGTTTCAAAAGAAACAAGTACTTTGACTTAACCAAGGAAATAACTAAAAATGGTTATGCCGTTGAGTGGTATGCCGTGGAAGTGGTTGCGAGGGGTATACCAGCTAAATCCCTCTATAACCTGCTTAAAGACCTTGGATTGCCAAGAGCTTTAGTAAGCTCTTTTCTTGAACGAATATCTAAAGCGGCATTGCTAGGCTCGTATCAAATATGGTTAGGTAGAGGGGGTAACACAGCAGACAGTGCAGGTGAGCGCTGACGCGTTGCACGTACTCCCTAAACCTATACCTGGGTCGCAAGTCCCGGGCGCTGTCGAAGTCGCATGTGTTGCCTCCATCTATCACGCGATGGACCCGGCATCCGCACGGTGAATCCATGGAACGCTAATAGGTCTTTCCAATAACTGAATACTCTTTCTGAGTTCTTTCAAACCTAATTTACTTTAATGTACATATTACATAAAAATAATATTTCCAACCTCAATTCTGTGCCGAGAACATTGTAGAAGTCCTAAAGAGGCTATGTAAATAATAGTTATATAAAACTTAGGTTATATCATCCCTGCAGCAGCAAATACTCCATGTAAATAGAGTACTTAACGTACCCACCAGTATTGTTATGATAATAAAATGTATATAATACATCTTCCTTCTAATTTGTTAGTTCTAAGTACGTTTTATATTAGTCGTATTTTTACAACTCTGTTTCATAATATTCTTCACCAAATAATTATTCATGTTAAGTCTAAAAATGGTATGTTCTCAACATTGACCTATTTATGGCAACATAGCGGTTTAAGAAACCTAACATTTTTTGAAAGAAAAATGATAACAGTTCATGAAATTTACTTAGGAGATTAACGATATCTGGAAATTGGAAAGGTTTTAAAGTTTTGTGTGAATATTTATTAAAAAAATCATGTATCATACTCTAGTTTGGTGGAATATCTTGTATACTTCTTAATAAATTTCTCAAAAGACCCTCTGATCCAAAATTTGGCAGATTCTCTGTACACTACAGGGGCCCACAGGCCCCTTTTAAACTTTAGGTTTTTTCAGTTCTAATTTAGTAGACATAATTCGAAAAATTTAAGAAAGTATATAAATATAAATTACTTGACTTAGAAGGTAACAGTAATTCATAATAAATACTTTATCTTCCATTTTAGGGTGGAACAACAAAAATTTTGCGTCATAAGTATTCACAAAGAATTATATAACTTTTCCAGAACATCATGGACTCAAACCCCGAATATTAGTTAAAAAGGTTAAAAACTACCACTTTTTTATTATTCGTTGTGTTGCCATAAGGTTAAAAAAAAAACAAACATCTCTCATCATCCCAGTCGCTCGCTATTCTACATACATATAAGAAGATACATCAATCAAAAAAACCTAAATCAGCGTCGGCGCTAGTTCTTGAAACCGTTAGAGCCAAATTCTTTTATTGCCCAAGTTTTTCTGTTCAGTTCTATGTTAAAATTAATAATAATTAAAAACCGAATTAAGAAAGTTCCTAACTGTATAGATTTCCATTTCAATCGCTCTTTTCGCACCCTGACAATAAAAGTGACGTATGATTTCATATAAGCTGGCCTTAAAAACCCCACTCTGGGATCTTACTTATGGCTAAAATAGAAACACTTCAGCTGGTCCACATCTGCATCTTTCTTTTTGAGGGCTTGTTTTCTCATTTCCCACAATTTAACTTGGGTTGGTAGGTACAATAAATGATATTAAAACAACTAATTTAAGGCTAGCCGAGGAAGCGTCTCTAAACCGCCGCTATAATGAAAATGAAGAATTGTTTTGATGTCACCTTTGCTACCTGCAGTGACAGCTCCATTTCCACAATCTGAGAGTCGGCACTGACTTAACAAACCTATCGTCACAATAGAAAATAACTCATTTTCGTAATCTGGTCAAAATAAAACCGCAAATGAGTTAGTTATTGGACATCATTAGGTACTTACTGTGTATAGAAATTCAGTCGAACCAAAGAGTTTGATGTTATCATTTCGTACTTAACTCTTACTAGAACATTCTGGAGTCGCCATATTTAATTTTCAACAGTCATTTATTTTCAGTACTTACCTGTAAATACGTAATATATAGGGAAAAGCTTTAATAGCTACGAGCAATTCGGTCACAAAATAATTTATTTAATAATAAGACGTGTTCAGTAGTATAGCGATATATGTACATAATAACTGTATATAGTAAGTACATATTTATTGTAACTGCTTTTCCAAGGAATAAATAAAAGCCCATTTTGGCAATAAAAAACATTTATTTTTTTCCTTCAGTTCGTACATCACCACTCTTACTCTAAAATGAGAATTCGATACTAAACCAGTTTAGTATTTATGCATCATTTTTAGTAAGATAACTACGTTTTGCTATACACAACTGACTGTTTAAGAGGCTTGTTTTATACTTTAAGGGTTGAAAGTTAGTCGAGTCAGATGTGTAAAGCAAGGGCGAGTTTATGATGGACCTTCTCGTTCCCCCACTAGGCAAGTTACTACAGTCAGTATATAAAATAATAAATATATAGTATACTCAAATGTTATGTCTATTATTTTAAATACTTCAACACTGCCATTGCCATAACACTGGGCAACCCATTGCCACTCTATTAATATAACTTTAATATTTTACTCTGGCAACACAAACAATTATGAGATGTCTAACGATCGCATAACTAGCAACATTGCTGATATATTGTGGACTTCTTAAAAACTTGTACTTGGGTGATATAAGTATTTATTAGATATAGCAATATTGTTAGTCGCAGATCTAAGATGCAGCAATGATATTGTCCAGTTTATAATTATTACACTTAAAATAGTCTGTATACTAAACTAACGAAAAGAAAGACACTGCATTAATACACTAACCGCGCCACTAGATGGCGCTGTTTACCGTAACCAAGGTCTGACATGAATTGACACAATATTATAGTTACAGTATACATATTGCCGTTATTTGTGTACATAACGGTAATGGTATAATATTTGGACTAAAAGAAAGCACAATAAAATACATGAAATTAAAAAAAAATACGTTTTTAATTTTTTGACGAAACTAGTCTACGGTTATACATGGCTAAAATCACATCTTTTCTAGTAGTTTATTAATCGAATCATTTTATATTTTATCTATTATGGCCGAGAGGAAGAAAATAAAATAACTCGAGTGAATATTGGAAACGCACAGACAATAATGAAATTAAACATGTTAAACTTCACCATCAATATATTAGAGAAATTAAATTGTCACATTCTATATTTAAAATACGCGAATCATTAAACCGCGGAATAAATCAGATATATTTTATTAATTTTGAGCAAATTCAACTATACATTATTTGCCCGCTACGAAAATAAAAAATGACGCACCAATTTCTTTATGGTAAGTTTAAAAAGAGAACAATAAAATTAAAAAGAAAACAAACCAAAGACACGACATATTTAAAAAACGAACTCGCATTTTTTTTAAATCGTTTATCATGCAGAATAAAAATTATATTTTTTATTAGTTAAATATTTTGTCATATTTTTATATTATGTCTGATATTGGACGATACAGGAGCAGAGACAGTGTAGAACCGTGGGTGACGTATGCAGTTTGCGACGCAAACAATGTATAACTGTCTTCTATAGTTATATAGGATTTTTTTTTAAATATATTGACTACGTACGCTGATACTCGCAGCGGCTGTAATCTGGAATATAAAAACAATAATTTGAGATATATATTATATAGCAATTGGATATTAATTTAATATAATAATATTTTCAGACATCTGACACACAACGCCATCTAGTTTCAATCTAAGCAGAGCTTGTACTTTTTTTTTACTACTACTATATACTTTTTTTGTAAATACATATATATTGTATATAGAAAACACCCAAACTCAAATATTTGCAGATCATACAAATATTTAGTCCGACCCGGGTATCGAACCCGAGACCTCAACACAGCAGTCGCATACGACCGAGGCAGTCATTTAAAGACATGAATTCATTATTTTTTTCTTTATTTGAGTCTTATTATATTATAATAATAATCTAACAATTGAGTTCAAGATTTAAATAGTGTCTAATCAAATTTACGTAGTAATATTAAACCAGAAAGAAAAAGAACGAAGAATCCGTTCCCATTAAATAGTCAAACTGCCTAAATATGTTAAGTAAGAGCGGGGAAGTAGTGTTGCGTTTACCTGCAGTCTACATGGAGAGGTAGCCGCGCGCGGCGGAGCGCCTGCGTCCCACGAGGTAGGCCACCAGCACCACCACCACCAGCCCGCCCAGCGCGCAGCCCACGGCGATGGGCACCGCGTCCGGCACGTCGCCGCCGCCGCACTCGCGCGCTAAGACACACACACAACGTTTTGTGATTAAAGATTCTTTGTTCTCAATAAAAACAGTCACTTTCTTGAGAACAATAATAATTTCAAGTATTATACAGGTTCGTTCGTCATTTCACTCAATAAATAATATCATTGTGGGTACATAGGTTAATCTAATGTACTCCTTCTCCCGAGGACAAGTCATGAGAATGATGTACGTACATATTGAGCTAATCGAGTTTTGAATACATTAAATGAGTTTCATTTACGGTAATGTAGGTCAGCATTTATTTACCATAATTTGTTCTAGGTTTTGGTAAAACTAAGAAACTAACTCGGCGAGTACTACGATGGGTTGTGTTTTTTACTTTAGTGAATGATATACTGTTTTATACTGTTTTATGATATACTGTTATACCGTGTGGTGACGGATTAAGAATACAAATTGTCACCACCCCAATTCATCCCGTGGGTGTCGTAAGAGCCGACTAAGGGAGCAACCTAAGCAGGACAACAGCACTGCAAAGAGAAGGAAAACTTGAAACAAACCCTATACCAACCCGTCTGGCCATCGTGGTATAGTAGGCCAAAACCTCCTTTCTAAAGAGAGGCCTATGTCCAGCAGTGGACTAGTATAGGCTGTTGATGTGATGATTGATGTGATACTGTTTTAACTCACATAACTAAGATTTATTCATGAAAAATAGTTATATATGTGATTATTACTAACTTTAGTAATTATTACTTTAAATTTTGAAAGATACAACCGTATTTTTACATTTTAAATGAATAAAATTAAACAAACACCAAAACACCTATGATTAGGGCTTCAAAGACATAAACTTCTTTACTGTATAAGCATATCAAGAATGCATCTGGATCAATCTCTTTATTCAGTATTTTCTTTTTTTTAAAGACAACTCCCGCATTAGGAATATATCCTGTGTCGCGGGGGACTTTACAAACATACTCGTACATAAACCGGACACAAAGAACACCCAGACTCAGAACAACAATTTGTGAATCACAGGAATCGGACCCACAGCACTCAGCGTAGTAGTGAGCGGCGTGGCGACGCTTAAACCACTACGCCATCCGTGCAGTCAATACCTAGGTGTATCTTTTCATACAGTCATCTTAAGAACTGTTTCTTTTTGAGGCTCTTGGCTTTCAATTCACAAAGAGTAAGAGAGTAGATTACTATCGGAACAAGCATCATCAAATCCAGTTAATTGCGAATCGGACGCTAAATTAAAGAAATGCTAACTATCCATCATAGTGTAGATATATGGAGGAGTAACAGGTCAGCGTATTAACTTCATCAACATAACTTTTACATAAAGGTTTTATCCATGAAATTTAAAAGTGGAGACATGAACAACTATGCATTACTCGTATTGTATTTAATAGTATTTATACCACGTAGGTTACATCAAACTCATTTCTGTCACCCTTAAGTCATCAATAAAAACCATAGAGAAACACTGGCCGAAACCTAACACACTTTCTACGAAACGAAACATAACATCTGTCAAAGCGAATAATATATGTAAATTATTGTCTAATTAATCAACATCGAAAACATGAATGCCTTATAAAATAAATCACAATACTCGAGTGACCTAGGATACATCCTAATAACTTTTAAACAATAGTGTATTCGGTAAAATAAACACCATTACTTCGAATCAATCATGTTCGAATCAACAATCGAATCATCAGAAATGGAATTAGAAGCACCAAAAATCAACAATGATGCAGAGATCACTCCTCTAGATGCTTCCATGACTCCAAAATTATGTACAGAACCTGTAGAAGACGTTCAAACACCAACTGACAATTCGTGCAAATTTAGTGTTAAGACCTACTGGTTTCCAGAGAAGACACTCGAAGAAGGTGATTCAATAAAGACACCGGCTGTTCTGAAATATCCAAAACTCAAAGCTATGGTGGGCGCTCCAAATGAAGCAATGGCAAATATATTGTGTGCAATGAAAGATTACGCTAGCAAAGCATTTGACCATGCGTCAGAAGCAGCCACTTCAGCTGTTACAATGATACAAGCACAAAGTGCCAAAGCTCTGGATAACTTTAACGGATACATCGATAGACACAGAGAAACCCAACCGCCCAAGGAAAGATAACATATTTGAAATGGTGTTATATAATAATTAAATAAAATATATTAATGTTATTTGTTTAAATTTGAATAAAACTTTCAAAACAGGAAAGCGATTAAAACACGGTAAAGTATGAGAATTGTAAGACGCATTACATTAAAAGGCTTTGTAAGAACAATGTCATGGAATCTTTATTATTCTATTGAGACCTTTGGTTAACTAATTTTTCTTTAAAATACTCTCCCACTTTTAAATCCTGACTGCTAAACAAGAGGTTGTTTGTTAGTTTTCGACTCAGGATTAATATTATGTCCGTATAGATTGAGGAGCTACTTCAGATTTTAAACGGGTCAAATAATTTTGTAGGACAAATCCTGAAATTTATAGTGAGATATATTCTAAGTTATATCAATGTGAAAGTGGCCCTTCAATCTAAACATCTGAATTGGGGAGCCACCTGAAACACGAAAAGTCATCATCTGCCTTTCCCTTACCCCATTTTAATTGGGGTCGGCGCAGTAAGTATGTTTCTTCCATTCTACTCCATCATTTCACTTTTTTATGTTAGAGGGGGCAGACCAGCAGACCTACCTGCCTAATGGAAAGTGACTATCGCCGCCCATGTTTACTCCCTTCCTAGCCATATCCTCACTCACACAGTCCATCCACCTTTTCTTTGGTTTTTCTCTTCTCTTGTACCCCTTAACTTAAACCACTTTCTTTGCCACATTTTCCTCATCCAACCGCATAACATGTCCATGCCAAAATTCCCTATTACTTCTCAACTTTTCATCCAGTGGCGCTACTTTCAGGCTCCCGTGTACTCATTCCTAATCTTCTCCATTCGAATCACACCACACATCCATCACAGCATGCGCATTTAGGCTACGTTCAGGCGTCACGAAACACAAAAAGTATTTAATAAATATTTTTGAAAATTATGTATCATTTAGTAGTAATTGTGTATAGTGCCTACTAAAAATCTGAATCCAGTACTGTTGATATTCAAGAACATACAATACTTCTGATGTATATTTAAAAGCTTCTCAATCTATATTTAAGAGCATGAATTGCCATGAAAGTATTTTTTTTATGGATGTCTTTCCCGTTAGACAAACGAGCAGACGGGTCACCTGATGGAAAGCGACTACCGCCGCTAATGAATGCCTGCAAGTCAGGAGTCATAGGAGTCAAGGAGTACGCTCTTTTCTTGAAGGTCTTCATCACACACACATCACATCAACAGCCTATAATAGTCCACTGCTGGACATAGGCCTCTCCTTAGAAAGGAGGTTTTGGCCTACTATACCACGCTGGCCAGACGGGTTGGTTTAGGGTTTGTGTCAAGTTTTCCTTCTCTTTGCAGTGCTGTTGTCCTCCAGAGTTTGCTCCCTTAGTCGGATCTTACGACACCCACGGGATGAATTGAGGTGGTGACACCCCGTATTCTTAATCCGTCACCACCGTCCGTTATAATAATGTATGGCCACATATATAATGTATGGTAACTTTTTTAAATTTAACATAATTTAATATGCCCATTGTTGACAATCATATGTTCCTGAAAGTGTTATTTATTTGTCTTGTGTGTAATTGTTTTTATAGACATTCATTTGTTTTTATCGATCATCATTTGTCTACATTATTTATATAGATTTAATAGTAAAACCTAAGATATAATACTATACGGGCTTATAAAGTAAAATACATAAATCTGTAAAACTAATCGATTTATAAATACACAGAAATGATATTGATAATTCTTAAGAATCGGATATTGTAGCAATCGATTTCTTTGATTTGATTTCTTTCTTTCTGTCAAACGGTGCCTCTTAGATTAGATGGACTATAGTGTACTTGAAAAATTTATTTAATGGGTCATAGAAACAGCATAAAGTGTCGTATATAAGGGTAGGTATAGTTTTTACCACGATTTATAGAACAATAACATCGTTTTAGTTACGTTGTAAATAGCAAAACACCCAGCCACCATGAATGCATGAATGAACCTGCTCTGAAATTTTTGGGCGCCGAACAAAGCTGAACTTTCAATTTCAAACTCTTTGTATCAAAATGGTCGTGTAAAAAGACATATGCCAAAATGTGTCATCATGACGTACAGCCTCATAAACTGTCACTTTTATAGAAAAAAATATGACGGAATAATATCATCGAAATAGTCGAAATAAAATATATTTATCCACGTAAAAAATATTAAAATAAATATCGAAAATGAAATACAAAAACTTCATGGGTAGACAAATTATCTGTATTTTAAATCGAACATAAACTTGAACATCTAAAAAAAACTACACAGGCAAATACGGTTTGTAACAATTGGACTGGAAGTGATAAAAACATCCAAATAATATGGATTCCGATTCAGATTCAGAACCAGAAATGTCAAAATTTCTACCAATAAACAACGAAGGCGAAGAGAGTTCTACAGACATTATTAAACTCAAGCGCAAAGGTAGTTCTACAGATTTAATAAATCCTAATCCAAAAGATTTGAATTTCAATGACGCTGATGATTCTCTCTCCGAAAAAATAATTATGAGTTCATTACCAGATAGTGGGCACTTCAAATGCTCTAAAACAAATTCGGACTTAACAGATGAACAAGCTAGCGGGTTTAATGAAAAAATAAGCAGCCCAAAAGATATTGATTACTGCAAAGAGCGCGTAAGTGAAGATAATACAGAGTACAGTAACTCAACCACACCAATGAATATGGATAATCAATCGGAAATAAGTGCCAAAGACTTGAAATTATTGGAAGGTAAAACGACAAACGACAACGATCCTTTGAAAGGAATTAAAGAGGCTCATTGTGAAACAGTCGCTATAATCAAGTGTGCAATGCAGGACATTTTAGGAAAGGCATTTTGTAAAGCATCATTGGCTGCTTGTTCGGCTTTCACACTAATCCAGCGCGAAAGTTCTAGAATGGTGGATAATTTTAGAAATATGCTTGATGAAAAAACGATATGTCCACCACCAGGGAAAAGTAACAGTAGTAGTAGCACTAATCCCTGTGGAAAGCCCAAAGCGACGCAATTCGATGACTGTACATGTAAGCGACCCAAAGGATGTGACAATTACATAGCAAATTTAAAAGAAGAACATAAGAGCAATAACGATGGAGCAAAACTCGACACTTCCAATACTGACTGTAAATAAGACGTCCCAGCTCTAAAACAGCAGAAGTAGAGCATAAATATGACGCCCTAAGTATATCCTATTGCAAGAGCATAAAGTCGAATTTTGAACCACTGAAAGATGATTAATAATTATGTTTTTTTTTTTAATAAAAGGTGTCATCACTTTTCTTTGCATTTAGTAACAGAATCTGTAAATCAGTAGATCATATAGAGAGACCTAATCGTTGTTTTAACTTACAATTTGATTAACAGTATTAATTAAACTTTAACAGCTAACACTTTTACTCTTCTATTCTATAACTTTCCTATTGTAAGGAATTCATCTAGTACAAAAAAAGTATTAAAAGAAAAGGGAACAAGTATCAATAAGAAAAATCTGCTGACCGGGTCCGGGTGGAAGGTGTCAACACGGGAACTGCGTCTCATACAGCCCTGAATGTTGCCCCATGTGGATGGAACGGTATTTAATTCAAAACGTCATTGTGGGGAATTGAATTTTGTTTATATTCCAATCAGGTAGCCAACACATGACCCATGACAAAGATCTTAACAATGTCTCCTTGTGGAGACATTGTTAAGATGTTTGTCATGGGTCATGTGTAGTGTAGTAGTATCTCCTTTTGACAACAAAAGGAGATACTTTTTAGTCGGGTCCAATTTGTCCGGAAAACTTAAGTCTATGACGATAATATTATCCTCTACAGATTCGTGATTTCCCGAAAAAAAAACGTACGCATACCTTTTGTTCTTCTTTTTTCTTTTAAAAAAGACAACTAGGAATATATCCTGTGTCGTGGGGGACTTTACAAACATACATGAAACGGACACATAGAACACCCAGACTCAGGACAACAATTTGTGGATCACACAAAGTGTCGTCCCATGTGGGGATCGAACCCACAACACTCAGCGCAGTAGTAAGCGGCTGGCGACCGGTTAAACCACTACGTCATCATTATTTATTTAAAAAAATGCTTTATATAATAGCTATACATTTGACTTTTGATGTTGGTCAAGTGGTTAGTGACCCTGACTTCTAAGCGGGAGGTCGTGAGTTCGTTTCCCACCGAGGACAAATAAGTGTGTGATGAGCACGGTCGTTTGTTCAGTGTCTGGGTGTAATTTATCTATAACATGTATGTATTTAAAAATATATAAGTATGTTTATCAGCAGTCTGGTTACCATAGTACAGGCTCTGTCTAGTTCGGGATCAGATGTAAAATGTGTAAGGTTATATTATTGTATATTATATTATTACTAGCTAAGTCGTTTTGCCGGATCAGCTTGTTTTAAAAATAAAAAAATAAAATTTTAGGGAGGGTCACCCTTACCACCTAAGGGTATAAAAAATAGCTTACAACATATTCTCAGACCTACCAAATTTACACAAAAAAAAAACATAAAAATCGGTCAAATCGTTTCGGGGTAGTTCGATAACAAACACTGTGTGACACGTGATTTTTATATATTAGATTAAAAATTCCACTCCACTCCTTTCGCGTAATTATCTCAAAAATTGTGTACAAACGTTTTAATATTTTACTAGATTTATTTGACATGAACCACAGCGTCAACGATAATTTCGTTCGAATCATTCGCACGCGCCGCCAGACGCGATAATGGGTCCAGTGTGAATTGTTGATAAATGTGAATGATTTGGTTATAAATGTGAGTTTTAAAGGACATGTTGCTACAATGTTACAAATAATGCGAATTGCCATTGTTTTGAAGCTTATCTACTTAGATAAACTAAAAAATAAACTTGTCTGTACATACCAACAAGTTAGTTTATTTTTTCTTTAAAGAAAGTTGGGTTTTTTTTTTCAGATTTTTCAAAAAAGGATTAGGTGTTTTTTTTTTCAAACCATAGAATTTGTACAACGATTTGGTAAATTTTTGTTTTGTTTGGAAGTCTCGCTGAAATATGAAGAAAAAATATCACCTATAAATAACCTAGCAACCTTAAAGCACGCGAAATCGCGGCCATAAGCTAGTATATTAATACGTGAGAAGATTCGGACAGAACAAATGGTCGTGTTCGTAACAATATCACTTGTCCTGGGTGGGAATTGAACCACTGATCCGCAGTTTTGTATTCCAGATTACTAACCAAAAGGCCAATCAAATTATTAAGACCAGTGTAACATTGAAAGACACTGTCACAAGGATTATGACAGGACTTACCAGCGCTGAAACCAGTGCCAGGAGTGGTGCGGTACGCTTCTTCCTGCAGCGTGAGCAGCGTGAGCTGGCTGGCTGTGCTGGTAGCGTCCGACGTCATGTTGAGCCTGGTGGGCACTTTACAACGATAGGAAGTGGCGAGAGGAGTCTCCCATTCGGGGCCGTGGTACAGGTCGATGGGTCCTGTTGATGCTGTAAAAGAGAAACGGCAAAAATTAGATAAACCAGTTTAATGCTTCAACAAGTTTTTTTTAATTTAAGGTATAGAGAGCTGACGAGAACGTTTAACAGGACCTCAGTCACCTCATGGAAAATGACTAGTCACTATGGACACGAGTTAAGAGACACACTTGCTATGGACTCCCCCTATCTGAGGCTCTGAAAATCTCAACCACTTGGTGAAAAGCAGAGAAAGAGTTGCTTAACCCCGGTTTTCCAATCGAACCGGTCCTTGAGTGGGGAAGCATGGCTTTGTATGGCTGGCATCCCAATCTACATTGACGTTTCATACTTACATGCATTGACAAAGTTGTCAGGCGCCAGAGATATATTGAAGCTTTTAACTCCATAATTCTTCGTGGTCTCATTCTTGTGGTAAACGATAGTCATGTTATTGGCTATGGATTCGTTTGAACTTGGCCAGCTGATAGTCAACCACTGGTCACCAGTGCAGTTACCAGCTACCACTTCTGCGTCCGATGGTACATTGAGGATCACACTCCACAGGGTGGTCACTGTAAAAAAAAGGGAAATATAATTAAATTATGGCCACAACAACATTCAGCAAACACTTAACGCTAGTATTTGTTTAGGAACGGATGTTATGTGAATGCAGGCGAGGGGATTATGGTGACCGCAACCCAACGGTTTATCTTGGAAAGTGGATGCTGAGAACTTTCCATATCGCGATACAGGATTACCAGTTCCTCCGTTGTTCGACGTGTCTTCGTTACATGGCACCGAAGTATGTTTCGCTTTCAAGTGGAAGCCGCCACATATCCTTTACCAGAAATAGATATTGTATTTTGAATTTTTCTCTTTAAAAAAAACCGTTATTTTTTCAATAAACCGGTTTTTCACACCTGTTCTATTTTTTTTCAATTACTTGCTACGGACTGATTTTTTCATATGGATATTCTTTTACCCGGATTATCCCGTTGAAAAACCAGACAGATTATTTTTTATAACATAACATGAAGGTATTTTACGCCGCACATACTGTTCTACGAGTAATATGGTAGGGGTATAGCAATCTGTGATTGGATAATATAACAAACAAAAAACTACAACGAAAAATTTTTTGCATATATTACACTTAATTTCATTAGATAAATTATTCATTTTAACTTTCAAGACTAATAAAGATCTGATTTAATAAATATATAATTATATCACAAACTTTCGCGTTCTATTACATAGAACTATAAAGTACAGGGTGTAAGGGACATCGTAACGAATACTGAATTAGTATATTCAGACCATGATTCTGCCGGAAAATGAATCAATTTTTTTATATTTTTCCATTTTTTGGTCAAAAATGATATCACAATGGGTAAACAGAATATTTCATCGAATAAAAATTAATAAATACCGCATACAGTCAAAAACTGTAATTAATCAAACAGCCGAAGCGCGGGGCCTCCCGTTCGGCCGCCACCTTCTGTTAGTGTGCGTAGACTGTTTGCACGGAATACACATGTAGTTATTACTTTTGTGTGATAACTATTCGGAGTAACCTTTACCTTTGACAGCAGATTGCATAAAAAGTTTAATTATCCGGCAGAAAATTTGAATGATTTTAGAATCATAATGATGGTCTGAATACACTATTTTAGCATTCGTCACAATGTCCCTTACACCGTGTATAATAAACTAGCTGACCCGCGCAACTTCGTCTGCGTCTCTCAAGTAATAAACTTTCTCCGTTTTGAAACATTCTTCATTGGTGCTCCGCTCCTATTGCTCTTAGCGTGATGATATATAGCCTATAGCCTTCCTCGATAAATGGGCTATCTAACACTGAAAGAATTTTTCAAATCGGACCAGTAGTTCCTGAGATTAGCGCGTTCAAACAAACAAACAAACAAACTCTTCAGCTTTATAATATTAGTATAGATATGAACCTAACACGAATTATCGCGACCACAGTCAGTGCAATCTGTCCCAAACGCCAGGCAAAATAATGGTATGTAATACCTACTACGCAATCACATTCATCTTACAATTGTATAAATAAATATTATTCGTCCTTCATGTTATAATTAATTATTAATTACGTGGGATAAATAATGATAAAGTCAAAATTTATCGACGTGCGTTTTTATTTGTTTATTAATATAGTAAAGGCCGCACTATACACGCACAAGGCTAGCTTCTTTACGTAGTATAAAATAAAGTCGCTTTTTTTTTGTTGTACGCTTCTTCATCATCATCACATCAACAGCCTTTAATAGTCCACTGCTGGACATGGGCCTCTCCTTACAAAGGAGGTTTTGGCCTACTATACCACGCTGGCCAGACGGGTTGGTATAGGGTTTGTGTCAAGTTGTCCTTCTCTTTGCAGTGCTCTGGTGTCCTGAGTTGTTTTGCGCCCTTAGTCGGCTCTTACGACACCCACGTGATGATTTGGGGTAGAGACATTCCGTATTCTTAATCCGTCACTACTCGGAATTTTTGTTGTACGCTTAGATCTTTCAAACTAAGCAACAGATTTTAATGCGGTTTTCAATAGAAAGTTATTCAAGAGGAAGGTTTATATGTATATTACATGCATATTATAGTAGAGATAATACGAGAATTTCAAATATTTGTTGTTAAAAATACGGTTTTGCGCGCTTACATTGTAAACGCTGACCTGATCGACGAAAATAATGTACTACGGAATTGTATATCTTAAAAAGATCTACAAAAAAAGGCCTGTATATGCATATCTCCTAAGGATAACCCACAGTAACCATTATTAACTTTTAAATATTACATAAAAACTAGCTGATCCGGCAAACGTTGTATTGCAACAAAAAAAAATTAGGGATGGGTCACCCTTACCATTAAAAATTGTGAATCTAAACCATTCCCAGATCCCCTTGAACACACACAAAAAATTTCATCAAAATCGGTCCAGTCGTTTGAGAGAAGTTCAGTGACATACACACTCACAGAAGAATTATATATATAAAGATAATAGGTTATTTACCAAGCTATTTTAAACAATACATTATTATTCCTTATCCAATGAAATACGTTATGCATTTAATGTAGATTTAAATTGCTCTGTACAGCATATCATTAAAATGAATATTTTAGAAGATATCAGAGGTTTAAAATGCGGGGGAAAAGCGGCAGTCGCCGCTGCGGGGCGTACGTCTTTCGCGGGTGGCAGCAGCCGTGGCAGGATCAGAGCAGGCCTATAAATATTGCATATACAGATGACCTGTAGTATAGCCAATCATAATAACAGTATAATAAATACTTCACACTGAGACCATATTAGTAGTATCTACATTGCACCCGTGCGAAGCCGAGGCGGCTCGCTAGTCTACTTTAAATAGGTACACCAAACTACTATGAAAGAAAAAATAATAATAATAACTTGACACAATTCACACACGGCCGTATGATCCCAACTAGGCAGAGCCTGAGCTATGGTAACCAGACTTATATGCACATATATTTCGAAATAAATACATATTATGGATAAATTAGACACAGAACAAATGATCGTGCTCTCTGTTTTTTTTTTTTTTTTTTTTAAAGACAACGCCCGCATTAGGAATAAGTCCTGTGTCGCGGGGGACTTTACAAACATACATGAAACGGACACAAAGAACATCCAGACTCAGAACAACAATTTGTGGATCACACAAAGTGTCGTCCCATGTGGGGTTTGAACCCACATCACTCGGCGTAGTAGGAAGCGGCGTGGCGACCGCTTAAACCACTACGCCATCCGTGCAGTCAATTAATTGTCGTGGGTGGGAAACGAACCATCGACCTCCGGGTTAGTTGTCAGGGTCACTAACCACTAGACCAACCGGCCCATTAAAAAGAAAGAAAAGAATATGCTTTAATAAAACTATACCAGATTTATATTTATTTAGTTAACAATAATGTAAAGCAGTTGCTTTTTGAAGATATTTGAGGCAGCTTGAAGGTCGTGAGGTCAAATCCCGTTGGAGGCCAATGAACTGAGTTACTAGGAATACTACCTATATTATCATTAAGATTATTTGCTTGACCTCTTTCTCTGTTTCTAAAGTAAATTAAAATAATCGTAGCGTGATACAATATACTAAGTAGAATTAACTAAATTCTTTAATTGAAAAGGATAAAAGTGAATAAACTTAGCACTAAACACAGCTCAAGACTATACAGCTGTAGTGTATTTAAAATGCTTTCATTTAATAATAATATAAATAAACATCTGTTTAAACAACAGCTGTTAAGTCAACAATCAGTCCACATATGTTAAAATAAATTATTACTTATAAATACTTGAACCCCATTAAAAACAATAACATAAAAACCAAAGTCTCAAACCGGTTCATTACCAACAAAAAAATGTTTTTTTAACTAACAACATTTGATAATGGCCGTGTCAATATTTTACTGTGTATTTTTTTTATTTCTTTAATAAATCGAATAATTTAAACATCGCACGGGAACCTAATATCATTTCTTAAGGAGTTTTGGCGTCAGTCCTAAATAAACCTTTTTATAATGTTACTAGCGATACGCCCCGCCTTCGCACGGGTGCAATGTAGATACTACTAATGTGGTGTTAGTGTGTCATTAATTATTATACTATTATTATGATAAGACTATACTACAGGCGATCTTATCTTATAAAAATGGTTACTAAATGTTATCCTTAAGAGATAGAAAAATACCATTGCGGACTTTTATGTAGATCTTTTTAAGATATACAATTCTGTAGTACATTGTTTTGATTTATCTTGTAAGGTTTAGCCAGCGCTTGCAATGTAAGCTTACAAAAACATGTTTTTTATTTATTTTATTTTATTTTATTTATATAATTTAAGGATCTCCAACAAAGGATATACACAGTTGTTATATACACTATAAATACTTCACAGTAATCTTTCGGTGTACTCCCTCAATTATAGGAGACCACAGCATGCAAACATTAGTGACAAGTTATAATAAACCTATATATTACATACAGATCGCACATAAATCTAAATCATGAACACAATTTTGATGTAACTATAGATAGCTAATTAACATGTAGGCAGACAATATTACTAACATATCACTGCAAAATATTTTTTAAGGAACCTTTGTATTTTAAAAATGAGATACTGAGATCTAGGTTTTTAGTTTTAGACAGCACATTATATTGCCTGCAGAGCCTAGGCACAGCGGCGAAGTGACCCAGGTTTGATTTTGCTGAGCGGACAGAAAATAGACTGTAAGCTCCTATCCTTGGTAGACGTGATGGTACATTTATAGATAGGCTACTCATAAGCTCGTTGCAGTCTGTGTAACCATTGTACAACTTATAAAGAAAAATAGCATCAAGGTACTGCCTGCGGCTATTGAGTGTGCGCATATTGTAGTGTTTGAGCCTTTCGGTGTAGCTAGATAGTGTCTTAGCTTTATAGTCACTGTAGCAAAGGTGATAAAGAAACCGTTTTTGGACACTTTCAAGACGTTTATTGTACACTTCGTAATGGGGATTCCATACAATGGAGTTGTATTCCAACACTGGCCTAAC